CAGCCACATAAATTAACACATAAAAAGGATGTTATTTCCTTTGCACTGCCTGAAGGACCTCGTCTTCAGAAGCTTGATGTCGCTAATGGGACATATTCTGGAGATTGTGAACGTAATATTTTCACCAAAGGCCACAATGCTTACAATGTAAGAAGTGAGAGAAGTAAACTGAAAGTTCATATTTTAAAGAGCGACATAACAAAATTGGATGTTGACTGCATAGTAAATGCCTCAAATAAAAGATTACATCATGCTGGGGGTGTGTCAAAAGCCATATCTCTGGCAGCCGGCCCAGCTCTGAATAAGGCATGTGAAACCTTTATAAACTCAGGCCACCTGGTTGCTGTGACTGATATCTTTTTATCCACTGGTGGAAATCTGCCTGCATTATGTGTTATGCATGCAGTGGGTCCTAAATGGGATGCGTATGATGACAAGAGTAAAGCACAATGTTTTGATGACCTGCGACACACAGTGATCAGATGTCTTGTTGAAGCTGGCAGACAAGGATTCACATCAATAGCTCTCCCTTCAATCAGTTCTGGTAAGAAATTTAAATGTCTTTACTCTTAGTTTAGTTTATTTGTTAATTTTTTTACTTTTTGTGTGTGGATAATTATGTAACGGTAAAAATTGCTTTACATACATGGGGGAGTATTAATATAATAGAAGCAGAAGAAAATGTGGTTGGTTAAAACAGTTCTTTCTGTTCAGTCATACTTATGGCCTACTAAGTTAAAATTATCTGGGAAGTTAATTAACATGGCTGGCTCGGTATTGACTTTATTACACACTGATTGTTGGTTGATCTAAAATATAGGGCTAGCACAATATGTCTCATTGTATGAAATGGTATCCTTGACTTTTTAACTATAAAGTTTCTTTGCATAAGAGTTTGTAAGGTGCACACACTGTATAGGTTTTATGTAGAAAATACTCCATGGGGAAAGAAAACACAAAAGGAGGCTTCTAATCATCAGAACTCCCCCTTAAAAAAATATTTCAGCCCTTTTATCTTCCTAAAACTTTGGGGGCAGACCAACCTGAGACTTAACTTCCGGGACTTTCCGGTTTAGCTTTTGTATCCTTGATGACAAAACGAGACATGGTTGTCGATGCTGATACTTCATTTATGACAGTCGCTGCTAGGGGTACACATCTACAAGCCATCCTGCTCAAACATGTCAATTCATGAACTGAGGGAAAGAACATTGAGGAAAAAAGTACATGTAATGGTGATGATGGTTGAAAGTCAAACTGTATTACTGCAGAAAGTTAAGCTATTGGTCTGATGAAGAAAGAAAGGTTGTGAATATGGAATATAAGGGAGAAAATGCTTCATTGTTAGTAGAAAAATAGCTTGAAATCAAATTGGTGTATTTTATGAGGCTACAATTCCAGCTATGTAGTGTTGCATTTCTGGCTTTGTAAATCATGGCCCATTGGTTATTGTATACTTTATTTTGTTCCTAAACCAGTACTAAGAATTTTGTCTTCTAGGACGATTGATACATTATGTTGTTGTTTACAGTAGGTTGATATCTGCCACTTTCAGCTGAACACATTGGATTAAAAAACCCTTTGAGTTAGTCACCTATTATGACATATGTTGTTAGGAGGCAAAAAGTCTTATTATGGCATGTGTTGTTAGGGGTCAAAAAATCTTATTATGGCATGTGTTGTTAGGGGACAGTAGATCTTATTATGGCATGTGTTGTTAGGGGACAGTAGATCCTATTATGGCATGTGTTGTTAGGGGGCAGTAGATCCTATTATGGCATGTGTTGTTAGGGGACAGTAGATCTTATTATGGCATGTGTTGTTAGGGGACAGTATATCTTATTATGGCATGTGTTGTTAGGGGACAGTAGATTTTATTATGGCATGTGTTGTTAGGGGTCATATAATGGCATGTGTTGTTAAGAGACATGGTGATTTATTATTGCATGTGTTGTTAAGAGACATGGTGATTTATTATGGCATGTGTTGTTAGGAGACATGGTGATTTATTATGGCATGTGTTGTTAAGAGACATGGTGTTTTATTATGGCATGTGTTGTTAAGAGACATGGTGATTTATTATGGCATGTGTTGTTAAGAGACATGGTGTTTTATTATGGCATGTGTTGTTGTGAGACATGGTGTTTTATTATAGCATGTGTTGTTAGGAGACATGGTGTTTTATTATGGCATGTGTTGCTAGGAGACATGGTGTTTTATTATGGCATGTGTTGTTAGGAGAAATGGTGTTTTATTATAGCATGTGTTGTTAGGAGACATGGTGTTTTATTATGGCATGTGTTGCTAGGAGACATGGTGTTTTATTATGGCATGTGTTGTTAGGAGACATGGTGTTTTATTATGGCATGTGTTGTTAGGAGAAATGGTGTTTTATTATAGCATGTGTTGTTAGGAGACATGGTGTTTTATTATAGCATGTGTTGTTAGGAGACATGGTGTTTTATTATGGCATGTGTTGTTAGGAGACATGGTGTTTTATTATGGCATGTGTTGTTAGGAGACATGGTGTTTTATTATGGCATGTGTTGTTAGGAGACATGGTGTTTTATTATGGCATGTGTTGTTAGGAGACATGGTGTTTTTTATTATGGCATGTGTTGTTAGGAGACATGGTGTTTTATTATGGCATGTGTTGTTAGGAGACATGGTGTTTTATTATAGCATGTGTTGTTAGGAGACATGGTGTTTTATTATGGCATGTGTTGTTAGGAGACATGGTGTTTTATTATGGCATGTGTTGTTAGGAGACATGGTGTTTTATTATGGCATGTGTTGTTAGGAGACATGGTGTTTTATTATAGCATGTGTTGTTAGGAGACATGGTGTTTTATTATGGCATGTGTTGTTAGGAGAGATGGTGTTTTATTATGGCATGTGTTGTTAGGAGACATGGTGTTTTATTATGGCATGTGTTGTTAGGAGACATGGTGTTTTATTATGGCATGTGTTGTTAGGAGACATGGTGTTTTATTATGGCATGTGTTGTTAGGAGACATGGTGTTTTATTATGGCATGTGTTGTTAGGAGAAATGGTGTTTTATTATAGCATGTGTTGTTAGGAGACATGGTGTTTTATTATAGCATGTGTTGTTAGGAGACATGGTGTTTTATTATGGCATGTGTTGTTAGGAGACATGGTGTTTTATTATGGCATGTGTTGTTAGGAGACATGGTGTTTTATTATAGCATGTGTTGTTAGGAGACATGGTGTTTTATTATGGCATGTGTTGCTAGGAGACATGGTGTTTTATTATAGCATGTGTTGTTAGGAGACATGGTGTTTTATTATGGCATGTGTTGCTAGGAGACATGGTGTTTTATTATAGCATGTGTTGTTAGGAGACATGGTGTTTTATTATGGCATGTGTTGTTAGGAGACATGGTGTTTTATTATGGCATGTGTTGTTAGGAGACATGGTGTTTTATTATGGCATGTGTTGTTAGGAGACATGGTGTTTTATTATGGCATGTGTTGCTAGGAGACATGGTGTTTTATTATGGCATGTGTTGTTAGGAGACATGGTGTTTTATTAGGGCATGTGTTGTTAGGAGACATGGTGTTTTATTATAGCATGTGTTGTTAGGAGACATGGTGTTTTATTATGGCATGTGTTGTTAGGAGACATGGTGTTTTATTATGACATGTGTTGTTAGGAGACATGGTGTTTTATTATGGCATGTGTTGTTAGGAGACATAGTGTTTTATTATGACATGTGTTGTTAGGAGACATGGTTTTTTATTATGGCATGTGTTGTTAGGAGACATGGTGTTTTATTATAGCATGTGTTGTTAGGAGACATGGTGTTTTATTATAGCATGTGTTGTTAGGAGACATGGTGTTTTATTATGGCATGTGTTGTTAGGAGACATGGTGTTTTATTATGGCATGTGTTGTTAGGAGACATGGTGTTTTATTATGGCATGTGTTGTTAGGAGACATGGTGTTTTATTATGGCATGTGTTGCTAGGAGACATGGTGTTTTATTATGGCATGTGTTGTTAGGAGACATGGTGTTTTATTAGGGCATGTGTTGTTAGGAGACATGGTGTTTTATTATAGCATGTGTTGTTAGGAGACATGGTGTTTTATTATGGCATGTGTTGTTAGGAGACATGGTGTTTTATTATGACATGTGTTGTTAGGAGACATGGTGTTTTATTATGGCATGTGTTGTTAGGAGACATGGTGTTTTATTATGGCATGTGTTGTTAGGAGACATGGTGTTTTATTATGGCATGTGTTGTTAGGAGACATGGTGTTTTATTATGGCATGTGTTGTTAGGAGACATGGTGTTTTATTATGGCATGTGTTGCTAGGAGACATGGTGTTTTATTATGGCATGTGTTGTTAAGAGACATGGTGTTTTATTAGGGCATGTGTTGTTAGGAGACATGGTGTTTTATTATAGCATGTGTTGTTAGGAGACATGGTGTTTTATTATGGCATGTGTTGTTAGGAGACATAGTGTTTTATTATGGCATGTGTTGTTAGGAGACATGGTGTTTTATTATGACATGTGTTGTTAGGAGACATAGTGTTTTATTATGACATGTGTTGTTAGGAGACATGGTTTTTTATTATGGCATGTGTTGTTAAGGGGCATAAGGTTTTCTATGACATGTTTGTTAGGGGCAGTGGGTCTGTTTTCCCCCCTTCTTCCCAATATGGGGCCCAAGAATCCATATAGGGAATGCTAAGAATTGGATTAACTTATTCTGGTTTCATCTTTATATTGGCAGTATTGCTTTTTAAATGATTTGTATCATTCTGTTGTCGTTGTTGACAATTTTACTATTAAATGCTTTTAAAGCAGTCACGTATTGCAACTAAATTATTATCTTTATTTTACAGCAATGTTGAAAGTACCAAAGGAGGCATGTGCCAGGTGTTATATGGAAGCAGTGAAACATTTTGCCACATTCAATGAAGAGACCAAATCTTTACGTGAGATTTACTTTGTTGACATGGATGCCACTATGGTTAAAGTTATTCAAGAACATTTTGAAAAAAACTGGACAAAACTGTGTGATCCTCACATTGTACAGAAAGACTGTGACTTTGCCAACGCCCATTTTTACTCTAAAACCAGAAATGCAGCTAAACATATTGGAAATCCCCCGAGTACAAAGATTACACATTCATCTGTATCAAGAAAAGCACTAGGAGCAAGTAAATCCTTATTTGTTCAAGGAGACAAACTGCCTGCTGGCAACACAGTGTCATCTTCTTCAGATCTGAGCAAAGAAGGAAGCTCCTCCTATCAGATTGCAAAAACGACTTTACACATCGACACCAGGCCAGCATTTGACATTTTGTCTTCTGACATCATTATCACATTTGGTAAACCTTTTGACAAACTTAGTGGTTTTCATAACTTCAGTGTATCAGACAACAGCCAAACTAAGGAAAGTGTGAAGAATAAATATAAACTGTTTCAGGTGTCAGAACCAAAATGCCACCACCAGAAGCTATTGTGTGCATTGCTCCCAGAGCCTAATAATGCAGAAACAATAAAAGAGGCAATAGAGAACTTAGACATAATCTTGCAGAGCCTGAATCACAAAAACTTCACACAGAATATTAGAAAGGTGGTTTTAACCAGCAGCATACTTTATAAAGGTGAGTTTACACTTTGCTGTTTTTTATCCATTTTTTACAAAAAGGACAATGGACAAATCCACAGTTGTGATGATTTTATAATTTCTCTAGCTTTTATCATGTAATTCTAGTTGGGTCTTTAGATCATTGATTTTGCTTGATGCCTGAAGAGTTAGTTTAGCTAATTTTTTCCGGATCTGTTGGTAGGTATGAAGTGTAATGCTTCATGGTAATCAATTTTCAAGTTTCTCTAATAATTATAATTCTGTAATTATGCAGCTAAATGATGGTGTTAGTTGTATATGCCTTTCTGCATACTTTTTTTTCACTACTTACTAGCCGTATAATTTTATTTTGGAATCTTTATAACTTGCCTAGAAAGCCATTACTTTCTGTAGTCAGATGAGATAGGTACTATACTGCTAAAATTATAAAATTTTTTTAGAAAATTGAAAGACCACTTTAAATTTTCAATTGTGCTAGACCTTAAATGTTCTGACCTGCATAGTTCTGCGGCACTGCCGGTAGCATGATTATGATCACGCAGAGTTTGTCCATCTGTCAACATTGGTCAAGACTCTTGGCTAAACTAGGGCTAAAATGGTAAACGTTGCAAACATTGCCTGTTCTTTCCTAAAAGTGAGTGACATGTGTTCACTATAGTCATGATTTGCACATGAAAAGCAATTTCCAGTAGTGTTATTAACAGACTTTGCGGTAGGAAGCATTTTCAAACATACATTATTTCCCTTTTTTATGTCCTTTCAGAGATGTTTAAAAAAAAAACCGCGAACAAGGCATTGCTGCATTTTGTAGCAAGCAGGCTCAAACAATGTTTGGTAATCTAACAATAAATCAGATCTATATAACTTCTGTGTACTACCAAGGTCAATTAAATCTACATGGTGGAAAGGGGAAATCATTTTTTAAATAGTTTGCCTCACGCTCTGAATGTTGTGGGTACATTTCACGGCTGCGCCCTTCAGTTCACGAGTGCAATTTTTACGGGGCTGCCTGGGAATCATTGCCAGACCTACGAATTTCGTGCTCTATGCGGCGCTCTCTGTAGGCAGCTAGGCATTCTGTGGAGAGAGACTGAGCCACATGGGATAAAACCTGGTGCAGTGAAGTCAATCCTCTCGACTTTAACCTTTAACCATTAATCTTTCACACCATTTGTCTGCAAGATGTTTTGGCCACATTTCTCTTTTTTTATTTTTTACTTGTTCAGTTAGTGGGTTGACAATGTGGTTCTCCACCTGCAATAATACACCCGGGCAAAGGCTCAAACTTGCAAGACCTATCTGCACCTCTCCATGGTTATCTTAGAAACAGGTCCCCTACTGGGAGCCTGGTCAGTGTAGATAGAATGGATGTTTTATTTCAAGTCTACATTCATCTGCCATTCGTCAAGTGTTTCATCCCCATCTTCTGCAGCCAGCGCAGTGTTCCAGTCCTGATGCTACCAGTAGCAGTTTGATTGTATGTCTTGCCTTTCCTCTCTGAGTTCAGAGTATGGCCAGATCCTTTGGTCACTTCCTGTTGCACCATTCCCTCTAGATGGTAATGATCTATTCGTACTGTATGATTGCCTAATATACATAATTATTTCTGTGCAGAACAAGAGATAGAAATGTAATTGTTAAATTAAACATGAAAAATAAACATTGATCCATCTTGAAGAAGACCTGCTTTAATAAATAACTTATACAAAAGTAAGTAAAGGACTCTTTTCCACGCCTTTAGGCGTATAGGGCATATAGGGCTGGACCTATATTTTATAAACCAATTGGCACAAGATGGGTGATGTGGTCAGCCTCACTCAAGGCTAGGTCAACCTGGGAGCCAAGGTCATTTTTTTGAAAGTCTGGCTCCTTCAGGAAGCGAACCCACGACCTACCGATTCGCGGCGAGCCTCTAGCCGCTCTGCCACAGCGACTCCCAAATACCTTATGTGTTACATAAAAAGCAACATTAATCCATCTTTAAGCAGATCTGCTTTAATAAATACCTTATGTGTAACATTAAAAGCAACATTTTCTGATCTCTCAACAGAGCCGAATAATACCCTGATCAAAACAAGCAAAAATGTTTATGACAGAAAGAATGTTGAGTATTTTATGAGGTGTTTATTTGACTACTTAAACCGTGGATCTCAGATTACTGGCTCACAAATTTCAATCACTCTTGTTGGAAGTGAAGATGCTTTACAAATATTACGTACAGGGTTACAGTCTCGTGGTCTCAGGAAACTATCACCAGAAGGTAAGTCTGAAAATGTTATGTTATGGAAAGTTTCAAACCCTGCTGACTTGTCATGTATGACTACAATAATTGGAAAGCTTTCATTTGTGCTTTATAATAGTTATTTGTACTGTGAAAGGGAGATTCCATCATATCATCATCATCATCATCATCATCATCAGGTGCCTTGGTGACTGGCATGGGCGATCATGCCTCTCCACAATCTGCGATCTCCTGCAGCATGTATCAGTTCGTGTGCTGACACACCTCCATGCCATGCAACAAGACTGTCAAGCATCTTCTCTCGTTGTCTTACTCTATCTCTCCTTTCACATATCCTTCCAGTGGTCACAACATGTTCTATTTTCCCTCTTCTCATAACATGGCCAAAAAATGATGACTGGCTCCTTCTGATGTCTGTGATAAGTTGTCTTCGGGCTCCCGCCTCTTTCAAAACCTCTTGGTTGCTCTTTTTGGCTGTCCAAGGTCATGATATGGCAGGTTTAATTCATAAATTTTTTATAAAACTTAGAATAAATGATGACCACATCGCCAATGCCTTGAGATTTTGGTTTGGCTTGTTTGGTAATTGTCCAGTATTCACAGCTGTATGTTAAAACTGACTCTATATAGCCTGCGAGAATTCTTTTCCTAACCTCCAAAGACATGAATTTATTGCATAAAATGTTTTTCATTTTTATAAAAAATTGTTTTATCTTATATTATTCTGTTCTTTATGTCTGTGATACATATTCCAACAGATGCTATTCATGTGTCTAGATACTTACATTTCTGTACTTGTCCTAAGAAAATGCTTTTGACTTTTATTATACAATAAGGTACTGTTCTGTTCTTGGATATCACATTACTTCTGTTTTCCCATTATTCAGACTGAGGTCCATTAATTCTACAAACTAATTATTTTGACATTTAGTGGGTGTTGTGGTCAACACCATACTGAAAGCATTTACTTGTCAGTATATTTCCTGGTACTCGTTTTAGACTGTGCCAACTTTAGAACCCAGTTCAATTGTAAACAATGTCACCTAATTCAAATTTGAAATTTTTTAATGTATTGTGAGAACAAATGCTGGAGGTAGTGGCCAGTTCCATTTACAGACTTGTGTGTAAGGATGTCTTCTGACTCTGCTGATGTTTATCATCTGTGTTAACCAACTCATTAAAAGTAGAACAAAAGAAATAAGTACGAAAAGAAACATGGACAAAATAAAGGTATTGCCACGCAGTAGAAGTTTGTAATTGGAAAATAACTAACCATCTTTACAAAACAAGTGACGTTTAAATAGTGTTTAGAAATGTAATTCATTTAATAAACATTTTTTGTTTTGTTTTATAATTAAAAACTAGCTGCTGGTAGCTCTGCTGACCTGAAAACATGTGAAATCTGTGTATCGAAAAAGCCTATTTATCCGGTCAAATGCTGTGACAAACATATATGTCTGGACTGTCAACGAAAAATGACAATATGTCCCTATTGTCGCTCATTTTGGAGCATTTTGATTGGCGACCAGCCAACAGGCACCATGACAGTTCATATTATAGATGATTATGCTGATGGTTATGAGAGTGCCCGTGCTTTGAAAATTGAGTATACATTTCCTTCTGGAATACAACAGGTAAGTCCCATTTTGTTTTTAAAGTATACCTTTCCATAAAATTATATATGGATAAATTTATGTATCACTTTTGTTGAGGAAGATAACTTTAGTTTCTATTTTGGCACTAGCTGTCATTATTTTTTCACAAATTTTATTTGGATTAATTTAGTATAAACCTTGTTCTTTCTTAGTATCTTGACACATTCAGTTTTCATGAATATCTTCCTTCTCTTCGCATTTGTCGGCTATAAATTCTGGCAGAAAGTTCTGGATGTTTGTCGACCTCTGGACTTAGCCTTGACCAAGACCTGTAGTTTTGCATGCACACCTGTTTTACAGATCTGGCTTATTTGTATGCAGACTGTTTGGTTCCACCATCTCAGGCATATGCACTCCGACTTTGATGGAAACCCCCTAATTAGTCGCCCATTATGACATGTTTGTTGGAAGGTCATTGGGTCTGTGGTAAACATTTTTTGACCAGGTATAAACACATTTCCATGGCAAATTAGTCAAGCCATTTCCCTCATGCTCTGAAAGTCGTGGATTTGTTTAATGGCTGAGTCATTCGGTTCACTTTACAATTTGTATGATCGTTGCATGAGCTATGAAGTTCCTGCTTTGTGCGATGCTCTCGGTAGGCTTCAGAGAGAGAACAGGCCATATGGGAGGAAACCTGGTAGAATTACTTTAACTTTAAAATAGCACCAAACATTCACATTTTACTGCAGAGTTATCCCTTGATAAATGTATAAATGTACCAACCCGTTCACTTTACTTTGAAACTTATTGTAAATGAACCTTTTGTATAGTAGGTATAATAACAATACATGTTTTCACTTTATTTTAGCTCAAAGAAAAATATTGCGACTTCAGCTCTACAGTATGTTTTTCAGTTGTCTTTTAGAAAGTAAAAAAAGTAAAGGACCCTTTCCACGCCTTTAGGCGTATAGGGCATATAGGGCTAGACCTATATTTTTATAGACCAATGGCACAAGATGGGTGATGTGGTCAGCATCACGACGAGTTGTCTTTTAGTAAGAAAAAATAACTATGCATTGTTAACTGAATTGTATGGCGGAAAACCATCAAGGAGATGAATGGCGCCTTTGCTGTTACAACTAGTAGCCTTACAATGGAAACTATGGCTGTAACAAGGGCATTAGCATGGCTTGGTACTCAAAAGTTCACACAAGTATGCATTCTTAGTGACTCAATGAATATGCTTAAAAAATCCAAGCTGGATTTATCAAGCAAGAATGGATTGTAACACTTAAGTACTTCACGAATAGCTGCCCTAATCTTCATCTTTGTGCCAGGTCATAAGGGTGTTCAAGGGAACGAGTGTGCAGACTATCTTGCTGACACAGCGGTTGCTATGGCTGGTCCAGTACTGGACAGAAGTGATGTTATCAATGCCATGTGCTGCACTTACCGTACTGAGGAGTATACCAAATTACATCTCCGTATCTCTGTCTAGAGTGATGTACATGGGGGTGCAGCCTGGAGCTGCAAGAAATTAACATTTCACGAAGGGGACAAGACGTCTCATTAACCAACACAAAACAGGTGTCATCAGTTGTTTCACACTTGTGGAGCTTTTGAGAAGGAGATCGGAGCACCTATGGATCTGTCCGGAGTGCTGTGATGATAATCCTTTCTAATCACTAATCACATTGCATGTACTCATGTTATGTAACTTAAATTGCCAAAGGAATGGCATTAACTTTTTGTTTTTGTGTGTGCAGAAATGTCATCCAAATCCAGGACGACTTTACACGGGCGTAAGTCGTAAAGCCTTTTTGCCTGCTACTAAAGATGGCTTTTGTGTGTTAAAACTTCTGCGGCTGGCATTTCTTCGAAAGCTCACTTTCACCATCGGCCGTTCTTTAACAATGGACAGAGAAAACACCATTGTTTGGAATGATATTCATCACAAAACAAGTCTTCATGGTGGAATGTGAGTATTTATTCTTCAAGGCTGTAGAAATGTATTTTTATCTTATAAAGGAATGTTAATTTTTATTTACTCCATCTCCAGTTTTATAACTTCAAGTTTATTTTTAATTACCTGCCTATGTACTTGTTTTTACTAAAGCTTGACAAGTGACATATGAAATTAATATTCCTTGTAAAAATAAAAAATGCGGCAGAACCCTATTTAACTTATTTTACTATAAAAGGGAGCTGTTTACCGCTCTACCTATGTACCAGTCCTGACCTATGGGTGTGAGTCATGGGCAATGACAACAGCTCACAGAAGCCAGCTGCAGGCCTCGGAAATGAGATACCTGAGAAAGGTGGTCCAAGTGACAAGAAGGGACAAAGTCCGCAATCAGACAATACATCAAGATCTTGAATCCCAGCCCTTACTAACCCGAGTAGATCAGTCACAGTTACGATGGTTTGGACATGTATGCAGAATGGGAGAAAATCGGCCACCATGGCAAGCATGGGAGGCTAAGAACCAGGGAACCAGACCTCCGGGACGACCCAGGGTGCGCTGGGAAGACAACATCCGACAGTCCCTAACTGACAGAGGACTGGAATGGAACAAAGCCAGAAAGAAAACTGCTAATAGAGACGTCTGGCGATCTCTCTGGCAAACCTCTACACCCCAAGGTAGAAGAGGAGCGACTAAGTAAGTAAGTAAGTAAGTACTATAAAAGGGTATTGCGTTTAATTCCGCTAGAATAATAGTATAGAAAACATTCACTGAAATGCAAGAAATATGAACTAATTGAATGTATGAACCACTGCTGTAAACTTATGACCATGGAAAATATGGTTAAGTTACCCTGGTACTTGGAATTCAATTGCCTCAAAACTCAAACAGTTTGGAATCCAAACAAAATTTTCAAGTAATTTTTGCCTAAAACTTGAAGCCCACCTTAGAAATTGAGAACCTGGCATGTGCTGACCACACAGGACAGACTACACTTGGATTTGTTTTCTTCACTGTGGGAAATGTTGCATTTTGGCTGGTCACCTCATATGATTTTGACAGCTAATTGCATGAATCAATTATTTAATTATGGTTGGTAAAAGGTATAAAGTTGAAAACAGGAAGTAAGAGAAAAGCTGTTAGAGCACCAGCTGCCATTAAAAAAGATCTTATCGCTAAGCATGAAAGTGGTATCCATGTACTGAACTTGCTGCATTGTTTGATATGCCCGAATGATAACATTATCGAACATTTTAGAAAAATTAAAAATTGTAGCCAACTCCAGAGGACTTTGGGATGCTGGCTGTCATCAAAAATTCAAGTGACCCAAACCCCCTTAGAATTGTCTTCTAATAGATATTGAACCTCTGCGTCTGCATGTCCGGCTGCTCATTCCTTGTATTCCCATTCCAAAGGAATTTACCGCCTTGTGCAACTCTTCTCTGCCCTCTGCGACTTTTACCCATTATTCTCCTCGGCTAAGCTCTTTAAAATTGCAGACACTCTTGATTCTCAATTCTCTGATGGAGATTGAGCCATATCCGATAAAATATTATACAGTGAAATCAATTCTTTCACTTTCAGCCTGGGCCATCCAAGATCTCCCCCTCTTTAATCTGTCACCCTTCACAGTGTCCAGTTTCCTGTGAAGGATATATTTTATATTGCTTACTTCTCTATGGGGGGGGGGGGGGGGGGGGGGGGGGTATTTGTGATTACAATAAGTTAACAATGTTCATGTAAAATTGTGTCTAATTTGCATAAAGTTGGAAATAAATATTTACTGCAGCTTCTGTTTCAACTGCTTTTTTTGTGTCCTACAGACATGGCTACCCAGACCCAAATTATTTGTCAAATGTTGTACAAGAGCTGGCCAACAAAGGAGTGACTTCTGAGACAATCTCAGCAGATGAGAAACGTAGCATTGAAGATTTTGAACATCATATCAAAACTTTTGAACACTTTACTGACACTCATTAAAAGTAACCACCAGAAACTACAGAAACTTGCATTGTACTTAGTCCCTTTTGTCAGTTACGTTACAGAATTCTCAGGTTGCCCCAGCCTAAAATGGCTACCAGGGTATATCCTGAAATGTAAAAATGGTCAGTGTCATGTTGGCTTATCATCCATCAAGTGTTGGTTGGTCTGTAGAAATGAAACTAACACCATATGCCCAATGCTGCAGTAACATGAAAAGATACTTTCCCTTTTTTTTTAAAAAATTTATTAACACATATTTTGGTCCCTTTGACTGATCATAAATTGATCTCCTTTGAATTTCATTATGAAGTTCTCCATGCTTAAATTTTCAAAATTATTACTCAAACTGGATCTCTGAAAGGAGAAAATTTGTTGTTACATGTTTGTCTGTGTCGACTTCCTAGCAAATCGGTATGATCCATTCTTGCTCCGTCCTCCAATGCCATTTCATTGTCTCTATGCTCTCCCAGTAGAATTAATTGGCAGATCTTCCTGATATGTCCGCAACCACTTTCTGCATTCTCGTCCTCCTTTTAATACCCATTTCCGGTTAATCCTCTCTGACTCTGTAATGTCTCACCGTCTCTGAAATGCATTTTAGTTTGCATTTTATTTTAAATTTTTAATTGTCATTTTTATTATAAACCATTGCTAGCTTCATACAAGCCTTCTTTTTTTTAATGTAAAAAGTACTGTCATCTTTGATCACATTTTCAAAAATTGTGTTGAATGAGGACAGACAAAACCCAGCTTAGCACATTGTTATGAATAAAAGAAATCATTTTTAAACATGATCATTATACTTGATCACAATATAGCTACAAATTTGCTGATTGTAAAAGTCACAGAACTGAACAAATGGACAGATAAATCTGGGAAAAAAGATCAAGCAGTCAGAAATAATCTGATCCAATTTTGTCTGTAAGAATGTTTGCATATTTGATTCTGTCACCTTTTAAAATAATATCAACATCATGTGCCATGCCAGTAAGTGTAGGCTGTCATGTTTCACCATTTCACACGGTCACCAAAATCACGGATCAGTAGTAGTAGTGATTTTTCAAGAATATCCTGTTTAACCCTCAGGGTTATAATTGGGATATATAGTGTTAATTGAGTTCTCAGAGTATATATATATGTTTTATTAAATCCATTATCATGTAATTACTTATATGACCAAAATGCAGTTTGTATAGTTTCACATTTTGCTTTGATTTGGGTTGTAATTATAAAACAAATTGTACTATGAATAATTAGACATTGACTATGAATAATTATATTGATAGAATTGTGTCATTACCATGGTGGATAAATTGTTTCCTTAATGTGCAGTCACTAATTATTCTACGTCGTAATTGTAACTGACTCTGAAAGCATGCTGAGGAAGGTCAAGACAGGGATGCTTCGAACAGAGTGGCAAGCTTCACTGGAAAGGTCACGAGTAGTGAGCATACTTTGGATCTTTTATCCAGGCATGCCGGCGTGGTGGGTAATGAACAGGCAGACAGATTGGCTGGATCTGGTGAATTGATATATGACAAGGCAGATGTAGTCAAGGCCCTTTGGGAACAAGCAATGGAATCAGTAGAGAAACAAGATTATTATGGCCTATAGAGAATGAGGCACCTGGGTGTAACCAGAGGGTCTGGTTGGCTCACTACACTCAGAGGAAAAGCAAGATGGGCATTTGACCAGATTGTGACCGGTACCATCAGTATTGGAACTCTGCACTGGCTGCTGAAGATGAGGCTGAGCACGCATGGGAATGCCCTGAGTGCCGTGTTGTCAATTCTTGACTTGACTCAACTGATTATTCTACATGATATTATCTTTAGGGGAAACTACTTCAAAGATGCCATTGGCATTCTTTCCACTTCTATATATGGATTTTAGTCCTAGTAATAAATTGCTTGACCTTGCCATGCAGCTCTCATATACATAATTTACAGAGATTCATTTAGTCAGTTATTGGTTTCCTTTGTTTCTCATATTTCCTACATGCCAGCAAATAGTGCTGTATATTATTGTATATCTGACATACATTACAGGTTTCTTCCTGAATAGTAAGCAAGACCATCCAAGATATAATCTATGCAATTTACGATTGCATGGTATTTTAAGTTCATCTGTTATCTGACATTGTCTTTTTGGAGCATTTAAAAACTTTAATGAATGTCTGCCATTTAGGTTGTGGTTCGAATTCCCGAACCATTCCTCTAATATACATTTTTTAATCAGCGCTTTGATGTCTCCTGTGCTCATACTTATATTAAGTTTTATTAAAAATTGGATCTACCTTTTTTTGCCTCCTTATCTGCAATTTAAAAACTAACTGATCACGGATAATTTAGTGTTTTTGCCATCTGGCAGTCCAGACAGGTATTTATCCTTCTACCTTCCTCTTGCTCTCTTTTCATCAATCTTGCCAGTTGTTACCAAGCTTTCGAGTCCATTCCTTCTCATAACATGTCCAACAACATTGGCTGTCTGTGTCTAATTGTTCTAATATGTTTATTCATCTGTCTCGATGAGAGCTACTTCATTTGCTTTTCTATTATTCTACTATATGCCTTGCAAATTTTCTTATAAACTACCTCTTTGCTGCGAATAAATGTTTTTAAGCTTGTTTGCTTTTGTTGTCCATGTTTCACATGTATATAGCAACACCGGTTCTACATAACACTTTAAAACTGTTTTTCTCAAGTTACATCTTCTGATTGTTGAGAATCTATTGCATCTTGCTAAAGGTCACCTTTGCCATGGCTATTCTGGTTCTAATGTCTGCAAGGCATCTTGCATCAGATGTTACCATGAACAGCAGGAAAATACAGTACAGTGTAGCAATTGTAGCAATTAGTCAACTTAATCATTTAGAAAATAGTAGAATGTCTTCATCATGGCATGGAGAAGTATGGCTGGTAAAATAGAAAAAACAAATAGAAGCAGAGTATGAGAACTGGAGTTTGTGTCGAGACATAATTATCTGTATGGGTTGAATATTGTACTTGAAGAAGATTAATATTATTTCGTTGTGTGTGTGCGTGTGCGTGCACCTGCTCGTGCGTGGGTAAGGGTATGGAGGGGAACAAATGTTTTAAACTAAAAATTTTCAAGTTGAAATAAAAATAAGAAACCAATATTTATACATTCATAACTGATTTATTATTTTACTACTTATATATTCTAAATGTTATACTTTCCCAGTTTAATAGTCCAGTTACTACTGTGCTGTCTTTTTTGTTTTTATCAATATTTTTATTGACTAATTGTGTTTTCTGGACAGTTCGATAGCTTATGCTGTAAATAGTTCATTTGAGATTTTCTCATAATTTATGTCTTGTTGAGTATTATTAAAACACTCTTGATATCACATTTTTAGAATACTTCCATGCAGAAAATAAGATGGTATTGCACAATGGATTTTATTTTATTAATAAAAACAGTAGTGTTTTTTTCCCCTCAGCTTTCTGAGACTAAAATATAGTATCTCACACCAGTTTTTTGTTGTTGTTGTAAACAGCTTTGCAAATTATTTTTGTACTTCTTGAATATTCTCTTATCATTAAGGAATTAGGTATTTTGACCATTAGAATCCATTGAAACCTATCTGCATCATGTGAACTCTTGCCACCTAGATGCAGGATTTTGTAAATGATACCAGTGGTGTTCTATGTGCCTGAAAGAGTGAAAGTGAACCAGAAGACAGGACAGTCATTAATTATTATTTCATTCATTATGTCTGAAACCTGAATTATACACACCAAATCTGGAAAAGTTGGATCTGTACACGATTTAATTTAGGTTATTATTCCAATCATAATTATTATAAATTACTGCTTTTCTTAGCAGCTGGCTGCCTACACCACACAAGTGGTAAAATAAACTCAGTAATTGGCAGTTTGACTGCTTCTCTTAGTATCTTAGTATGTATATGTGTGTGCGTATATATATATATATATATATATATATATATATATATATATATATATATATATATATATATATATATATATATATATATATATATATATATATATATATATATATATATATATATATATATATAAAACAAACCATAAGACCCATCAGTGTCTCACATATTTACTTTTAACTGTCAAAGAGATTTCTGCTTTCATTATCTTCTTTTGTGTTCCTGAATCTTTTGTGAAATATCAAACAGATATCATTGGTTTGAAACCATGTTGCCTTGCTTGTATTACTGCTGTCCTCTGTTTACTGTGATCATGGTAAATTATATTGGAACCATTTGTTTGGCAGAAATTATCTTCGGTTGCAGCTGTAACTATATTGATATAATTTCTCTGTGATGCTGTACCTAGTATATCTGACAATGTATATATATATTTAAAAAAAAAAGATAAGCTAAAATAAATGGCTGTGACATTTTATTGCAGTCTTTTGTGTAAATTTTAGTTGGAGCAGTCTTATCAGATCTGAATATTGTCTGGCAGCACTGAAAACCATGGTGACATCACACCTAGAACAGAGACTCTTGGTCTTATTGTTCAGCCAGAGAGCTTTCCAAACTGTGTGTCTGATAACACATTAATATGTTTGTTGCCATGTGAAAGTCTGTTGCATGAACATGAAGCGTTAAACAGAATAATCAACATGCAGTCAACATACACGACAATGCATTAATTGCGTAATCAATTTTATGATAGTTCATGCCATATTTAACATTTCTAAATTTGTATATCAGCTACTTTCTTTGTTTGTCTCTTACCCATTAACTTTTTTTTTAAGGGGGCACGAAATTTATGTATCTCTTTTTAGAGGTAATTGTAACTTCTGGTTTTCTAGTAAACTAAATTACTGTGTGGCAAAAATGATGTCTTGTCTAAAAAATGTCACCAGCATAAAAGGTTTGAATAGCTCTGATCTAGTTTCTTCAGTAATTGATTATGACCTGGGACAAGAATACTGTCGACTTTACAGTTTGCTCAACTGAATGGATTCAAAATGAAGGAATGTAAATTGTTTTGGGTTGATGATGATATATATGCTTCTGCTAACATCAGGAATGAAAGGTATGATGAAATTGCTGCTGGGGTCGACCAGCCACAACAGTGGACATAGGTTATCAAGAACACCCTTGGCCTAAAAGTTCTTGAGGTGGAAAAGTCTGGCAAGGGATTTAGTGACTTTCTGGCATGCTGTGATGACAGTGACAATTTACAAAGGATCTGCTACATCATGATGAAGATCTGTAATTCTGAAACACACTGACAAAAATCAGGCCCTACATGGGGTCATTACAAGGTTACCTGAATGATTTTAGAGGCAACAGTCATGAATGACTCTAGCAGCAGATACCATTTGGTAGTCTACAGTGAGGAGGGTACAGTTTCATGAAACCAGTGCAGAGACCAACCTCTCTGAAGGTGGATACAAAACATTCAAGATGTATTAGCAATGAAAGCACATAGGGTTGGAGATGGGCTAGAGAAAAATCACACTGTGATAAGAGCGATATTCCGTAAAGAACCTGCTGAGATGATGATGATGAGGCTACTTCAGTCAAGCAAATACATGCGGGGCAAAAATGGATCAGCAGTGGCACATACATGATGATTTTCAACCATGCCATCATTACATCAGGAAGAGAATATAAGCAGGGGTGTAATCATCTGGCAGAATTCGAGGTACAGCAACAGATAGATGAAATTACCAGGATAGATGATGCAGCAGTGTTCACTGAATGTTTTGTACACCAAGATGAGGAATCTAGCTGGAGTTTTGCATCTAATTGGAAGGGAAAGGCTGTGGTAGAACTAAACAGAACTTCAACTTGAATATCAACCATGAGGATGGATGTGGAGGCAAGCATTACAGTCCAGAAGTGGATAGCTGGGAAAATATTAACAAGAGATATCACAGTGCCTCAGTCTGCAGTGCATAGAGTTCAAAATGGATGTATATAGACACATGAGTGGATACCAAACATCAGTACTTCAGCACCAATGTGGATATACTGTCTGAGATATGCAGGTGTGTGCAGTAATTAAGACGTGGATTTTTAAAATCAGAAATGCGAAAGCAATAAAAACACTCTGGTAGACATTCAGAAGACTACAGATAAATTAATGCTGATGGAATATAGTGTTAGATAGGACAACAAATATACAGTTGTGTCAGTCTGATAAGGACATGAAAGGAGTGTGATGTGAGTACAACCAGTATCTTACTGGAATCTTCAGCATCTGTCCCTTGACATTATCTGCAAGAGACTAAGCACTTGTGGATATGTTTGGAATGATGTGATAGGGATGTTTGAATTAGTCATTAGTAATTTGCTGTGTTTTCAGAAATAAAACAATGGATTAATAAGATATTTGTGGATGTAGAAAAAAAATGTACATTGGATCCCAGGTCAATCCAACCTAAAATTTGTGCTAGGAAAAAATCATAGGAAGTATCAACAGCTGGCATCATGTTGACCTTATGACCCATTGATTGTTGATGGGTGCACACAAAGATAAGTTTAACATGACATACCCGATGTGCTAGTGGTGGGACCCTATTATTAATAATTTATTTATGAACAAAATTCAAATATAATATTGTTTCATATGGTAAGGTTGTATATTCTTCTGCTTCTTCGTCTTTACTCCAGCGAAAAGTTCTGCTTGTTCATCCACAAGTGGACTTGAGTCTTGTTCCAGGATCTGAATGTTGCATGCACATCCATTTGACAGATCTGGCTTATTTTTATGCAGACTGTTTGTTCCTTACCTCTCAGGCAGATGCACTCCGACTTCAAAGGATGCCCGCAGTTAATCTACTCCTACAACATGCTTTTTTGGTCTATTCTTGTGTCTCCCACAATGGGGCCCTGGAACTCACATGGAAAGTAAGGTGATGTTAGGCTTGTTAAAATGTATCAAGAGAGATGTGTATTTTGTTGTTGGTGAATTTCAGAATTGTCATTATTTTAGAAGTAGAATTTTAAAAAAAAACATGCAGTAATGTATGCCTTCCATTTTGTTTTCTTTTCTGTCGACTCTCATATACTGTGAAGATGTATAATGCAAGAAAGAATTATTTCATTCATTCTGTCATCAGAGGTCATATCATTTGAAAAAAATCTATAGTATACTTAGTTTGAGGAACGGCATCCGTGGCTTAAGCGTTGCCAGTCGAACTCGTAATTCCAACATACCCTGATTGAAACCCACTGCTGGCTGCGTGGATTTTTATCATGATATGGGAAGACGCAAATCGACCCAGCATAAAATGGGTATCAGGATGACTGTCCTGGGGAAGTAAAGACGGCCGGCGTAATGCTGACCATATTACCCACCTAGTGCCGATTGGTCTGTAAAAAAATGGGTGCTTTTCCCATATGCCAGATGCGCCTAAAGGCATGAAAAAGGGATCTTTACTTTTTTTAACTGGGGTTGAGGGGAGAGGAGGGGCTATTTCTTTCTCAGAGGCAACATACAGGACATGATCAAAGGAAGCCTGTTCATGTTGCCTCATGCTTGACTTCACTGTGGAGTATGATCTCTTAGCCTCGAATAAAGCACAGACCAATAAAAATCTAACATGTGTTCATTCTCCGCACATGAATAGGTTCAGTTGCAGATTGTTAACAACATGGATGGTGTGATATAGTGTGTCAATCTTCTAGGCTGTTGTCACAGAGGGAAGAAATATTTGTTTTGAAAACTGCCTCCCCAAAAAAAAATTCCTTGAACAAATATTCCCTTGGTATGTAATATGGTCAACATCAAAATGGCCGCCTGTTTTCTCAGGATATTTCCCGGTGCTAATTTTAAGCTGGGTCATCCTGACAGTTTAATCGTTTCTAAGAAATTGCTTGGTGATGATAGCCAACTATCAGCTGTCGAGCTGATCTTTGCCACTAGAGTAGATAGCTTGTACAGTAAGAAGTATAACAGCAGATGTATTATCAGTTCTGCAGTATGTAGGTAGGTAGTTGTAACACACCAGGACATCACACAAGCGATAAACACCCGGTGACACAAAGTGCCACCATGCGGATGAGGATCACATGTCGAGAGGTTCCAGAAACCCCTTTCAGCCATTAGGGAATACCTATGGCTAGGCCATATCTATGCCCCGGCTTTATTCAGGGCCCCTGGCAGAAGCCAGGGTGGGGCTTCAAATAACAAAAGATTGCATCCCACATGGGGACGACTTTCACACGTGCAGTGTGTATTTTTATTTATTTATACTGTAGGATCAATGACATAGCTGTTGTAATTTCTTCTGAATACTTTTGATTGAGTTGCACTCTTTTTTCAAATGCAAACATGCAAACTGGATGGTGCAAAGGTGAAGTGAAAATTTGAAGATTAATCATCAAGGGCCATGCTGACTGGCATGGATGATCCTGCTTTTCCACAATCTGTGATCTACAACTGTGGGTATCAGTTCGTGTGTTGACTTTACTCCATGCCACTTTCCTTCATGCCACAACAAGATTCTGTCAAGAATCTTCTCATGCTGTCTTTCCTGTCTCTTCTTTCACGGATCTTTCCGGTGGTCATGACATTTTCCAGTTTTCTTCTTCTCATAACATGACCACCCCAAAAAAAATACATAAAGTAAATTCTTTTGAAGCGGAAAAAAAAAAACTAGTTAGTTTCCCCCAAAATAACAATAATGAGGTACATATAAGTAAGAATTATTGAAGTCAGCAACACATTATAGTTTATTGACTACAGATAAACCACATAAAAATATGTACACTCTTTAAATGGGAACATACATTTGTTCTCATTAATACTTTACATGGGCACATTACTGACATTTACACATCAAAAACAATTTATTGTTTATTGCTTTATTTTAATTACATGATATACTGATGTTTCATAAAACCTCAGCAATTGTTCTCTATTTCTTTCATTCTGAATTTTATTTTAAATTTGCTCTTTTCTTTCCGCTGATCCTTTATCTCTATTTTTCCTTGACTTTCATTCTCCCTCTCCTTCACATTTTCACATGCAATCTTTTATCTTCTCTACTTACAATGACAACCGCTAAGTTTCTGCATTTGTATTGTACCAGCAAGTAGTTTCAATTACTGTTTTTGTGGATTCAAGATAGTTGCATCTTATTAACCTTCATTCTTTCAGTCAATACATTATTTTATTTTTATGGAATTCCCATTTCCTTGGTACATACTTCACACACAATTTAAATTAGAGCACTCATTCTCTGCTTCATGATTTCAGTATACACGTTCTTGCTTCTGCATAAGTAAAAACCATACAGCTGTGTAGGAGAGTAAATTAAAAACAGTGACTACACAAATTTCTTGTTACACCTTTTCCTAATTCTTGTTTCACATATTTATGAATTGAGTCCATTGAGTCCAGGATTGTGTTCATCTTTCTGTTCTGTTCATCTTTGATAATAAGACATGCTGCATTGCTGCAATAAAAAATTGAAGGTATGTTAACTGAGTAATGAGTTTGATTGTCGAGAATTAATAAGAGAGTGTACATTTCATTAATTCTTTTAATCTAAGACATCTGATTTTTGTTTGGTGCTTTTCTGAGAATCCAACCAATCAAATAACTAGTTTTCATACTTAACATTTTCCCTGTTTGGGTTCAGCCCTATTTCGGGGGCAAACATATAGAACTACTGCTCCCTGACAAGTATGTTGTAAAAGATAACCATTTATGGTGTTTTCTTCTGTCAGAGTGCATATAACTGAGACCTGATGAACCAACAGCCTGCATACAAATGAGCCAGATCTGTAAAAATGGATGCACATGCAAAACTCAAGTTCTGGAAAAAGATTAAAGTCCAGATGTAGATGAGGAACCAAAACTTTCTGCCAGAATTTACATCTGGTGAACTCAAAGAAGAAGAAGATATTTTAAAATTTGTTAATTAGCATGCTAAAGAACTCTAGGTTCTGCAGTGCTCATTTCTATTGTAGATTTTGCCTCTTTAAAAGTTATTTTTCGTAGTGATTTTTTATACATTTGTGACACTTTCTGAGACTGAAAGAGTTAAAAGAAGTAGAGGCAAATATTTCTGCTAGGGGTGTTGGACCTTCTCAGTGTAATCTCAGATGATTTCTGCCTTTCCTTTCCTGATGATGCTGAAATTATAAAGTACCCATGGTTCTGAAGCTAGATTGGAAGTCTCATCTGGCAGGAATCAGTTTCATTTTTGTGTCAGAACACTCTGGGTAAGAGGGAATAAGAAAGCAGACTAATGTGCTGTCAAGACCATAGTAGCACAGGTAAAGCAGTGGAATGGGCTGATGTTCTGAATGCTCTCAATGATGCATTACAAGTAGATGATCCAGGAGGTGATGGTGAGTCAGCAACCTTAACACGACTACAAGAACTTCATGTCAGAAGAGGTATTGCCAGACATGAACACTGTACAGGTAGCCAAGAAGAATAGTAAACCAACACAGAACTGATGTTGTCAGTCATCAAACAATGAGGGAGATACTGAAGATGGGATCTAAGCACTTATGGACTTGTCCAATGGGCAATGAGGATGATCAATCAATTAACTAACTATGGGGCTAGGTCAGCATCTGTGGCTTAGGCGTTGTGAACGCACTTCATAATGCCAAGTTTAATTCCAGCTGCAAGCAATTAGGCAGTAGACTGCCTTGCATTGGTTTTGACAGTGGTATGGAAAGATGGCCGTAAAGAAAGCAGTGGCAAACTACTGAACATAAATTTGCCCAGTAAAACTGCAACAGCCAAAAAATAAATGCTGGTGTTCTGCAACATCCTGTAAAATATACATAACTAACTATGAGGCTAGATTAGCATATCTAGGGTTGGAAAACAAGAAATTTTACATGTACGTGGAGGATGTAAAACATCTATTGCAAAAGACACTGCAAAAATAAAAATAAAATATTTAAAAATTGTTTCTACAAAATAAGCTCTTATATAAAACCCATCACATAACTAATGCACACACACTAGCATAATTTAATATTCAAGTTAATTAACATACAGGATTAAATATTTTCTTCATAAAATTAATCTACAATTTTATAGCATGACTAATACAATTTTGGCACATCCTTGAATGTAATATTAGTATTATTAAACAGTATCTGTACATATTTAAAATTAATGAAATATATACCGATAATGGCTTATACTAGGGAGACGTCAAGTATTATATATTGTTAGATGGCACCCCACGATTTTATTAATTACGGTATATAATTATAGATGAATTTTGTAAAGAACATTATTTAATCTCGTGCTGAGAAAGGTATGCCCTGTGTAGAAGGGCAAGTCCCAAGTTATAAGCATCCTTTGAATGTCTCTAAAGGGATATGAAGGTATGTTGGAAAATGAACAGCCAGATCAGCTGGTCTGCACCACTAAGTGGTGAAGTGATGCATGGCAAGCTAGGTAAATTAAAGGCCATTTAAGAGCAAGTTAACAATGCAGAAGCATGAATAAATCATTACTGTCTGGAGTTAATAGTGCGGTGGGGAGTTACTAGATCTGACCACAACTCCACACATAGAGGAAAGGTTAAAGGATGTTTAATCAAACTGCTACATGTACCATCAGAACTGGAAATCTGCACTAGCTGATTAAGATGAGGATGGAGCGCTTATGGGAATGTCCCAAGTGCTGTGATGTCATTTCTTGACTCAACTCACAACATTTAGGTTATCAGTTTTTAGCTATCTTAGAATTACACCAGGATTTTCAAATTAAATTATACCTCTCAAACCTCAAGAATGACTGATATACAATATACAGTGTAACAATATTTTTACTGTGACATCACAGTTACATCATGTTGACTAAACCCCCCCCCCCCCCCATGACAAATGTCTCAGAATTTTTTATTTAAAGCCAATTAGTCACACCCACCACTTCTACACACTACATAGTTGCAACCAGTATCACAGCTGTTGTATATATCAGAAAAAGTGAGGGTTAAGACACACAACACAGGTAAATGTGATAACATGAATCTGGATTATCACAAACAAAGATGATACTTACGATACTGACAGAGCTTGCCCCAGAAACTTGATGAACATTTGCACTTCCCCTTATGACATTGACCCCCATTGAGACAAGCTGGTTGACAGTGCACAACCTTTTGTCTGCATGTGTCTCCCGAATAACCCTCCTGGCAGCGGCATGTGTTTGGCTGGATGCAGACTCCCTTGCTCCCACATTCCTGCTCACAGATAGCTGGTGAACAAGGGTGACCCAAAACTTAATAACTACTCCAAGCAGTCATTTTGCTTCGATTGTTAAAGATTTATAGTTAACATAAATTCTAGATGCCTGTATCTGTGCTGTGTTTTCTGATAAAGCATCATATGCTGGTTTTTTTTAATTTGTATCTGAAGCTGAAATAACAGTTGTTGATTTGATTTGTAAAGGAACACTTTCATTACACACAAATATCAATAGATTTTCCAGTATCCTCTTATAGATCACATACTGAGAATAATCATTACAGTGCACAAATTCTGCAGTACCAAAGAGTATCCATTTGTTTGTACAGAAATCAAAAATGCTATCATCATCCTGCTGTGCCATTTTATGTCACATTGAGCTTGCAATCCTATCTCCATTCTTTTTTTTAATCTTTTTATCAGCAGCTGTTAAATGTAAACTCTGTACACCATTCACAACTTGGATGGCTAGTTTTCTAGAATGGCTTCCTATTATTGAAGTTTCTGCAGCACAGTTGCTTTTCACTAGGTGGGATACCTAACCCACCTCCACGACTCCTCCTTTCACATCCAAGGTTGGGACCGGCAATGGCAGGGATACACATGCTATCAATATTCGTTTTTTACTTTCAGTGGTTAGCTCATCTAATTTGAAAATGTTGCACAGCCAATGAAAAATTTAGCCTGCTCTTTTCTGATCTGCAGCTGTTGAGGGATTCATAGGTTTTCAGTGGTCCTGCTAGAGTTTTGCCATTTTCCAAGATAGATATCTAATTCACTACCCCAGGATCACATGGAAGTATTTCATAACAGTTTTTTTTAAGGGGGTAAAAGGGGAAGGGGGGGGGGTGTAGTAATATTCACATTTTCAGTACCACATGAGACAAACACATTAAGCTTGAGCCAAGGCTTTCAATATATGCCCTTCCCCCTTCTCCCCTTTTTTCCCCCTCTCTTGCCCCCTCCATCCAAATTGTCTCAGCTCCATGTCTATGAAGTCTAGAATGTCTACTTGAAAATTTGCTGGAAAGTAAAAGGACAGCTGGTATTATATTTACAATATAACTTATTGAGGGGTAACTGAAGTATACAATTATGAAACTAGCAACATATAACAATATCCTTCAAGGTATAGTTGAGCATTTGTTTATCAAAGTATAATGGTTGATGTATTGATACTATGAAATAGGTATCATCAGTAAGATATTATGTACTTCAAGAGTTAATATGTATGACAGGAGATATTACAGTTTAGAGTTATCATCTTGATTATTTATTCGCCATGTAGGTTCCAGGGTTCCATTTTAGAGGGAAAGAAGAATAGTCCCACCACCTTTTAACAAGCTAGATGCTCACCTGCGGAGCTGAAGGTCGTGGGTTCAGGTCCTGATGGAATCAGATGTTATTTATGGTCTTGGCTCCCAGTCGACCCAACCCTAAATGGATACCAGATTAAGTCCTGGGAAGTAAAAGTGGCTGGCATGATGTTGACCACATCACCCACTGAGTGATGGTTTGTCTATGAAATATAGATCTAGCCCTATATACCCAGTACTCTTAATGGTGTAGAAAAGGGTCTCTTTACTGAAGTTACTTTTAACACGCATGTCATTTGACTAATAAAGGGTTAGCTGAAATAGAATGTAATGGGCAGCAAAGCACAAATATCACAGCCTAGCTGTAATCAACAACACAATATATCAACTATTCTTTTTAAAATAAACACAGATGAAGAAGGAGAAAAGGGTGGTTATGAATTTATTTTGAAATAAGTACTCACGTATCTGACATCGAGCTCCCTTATATCCTTTAGCACATTTGCATCTGTTGTGAGGCAGGCAGACTCCTCTATTTTCACACCCTGGTTTGCACTCATGTGAAGTTTCTAAAATACAAGTTACCTGCATTTCATTTGTAGTCTACATCTTAATTTTGATTCATCATCATCATCATCGGGTGCCTTGCCGACTGGCGTGGGCAATCATGTTTCTCCATAATCTGCAATCTCCTGTATCAGTTCGTGTGCTGACACACTTTCATGCCATGCAACAAGACTGTCAAGCATTTTCTCTCGTTGTCTTCCTCTATCCCTCCTTCCACAGATCTTTCCAGTGGTCACAAAAAGTTCTGTTTTCCCTCTTCTCATAATATGGCTGAAAAATGATGACTGTCTCCTTCTGATGTTTGTGATAAGTTGTCTTCGGGCTCCCGCCTCTTTCAAAACCTCTTGGTTGCTCTTTTTGGCTGTCCAAGGTATTCTGAGCATTCTAAGCAAGTATTCTAATTTTGTTTAATAATTTTACAAGATGTTACATTAGCTCATCATTAGAATTGACTTGTGCTCCAAAGTTTAGCCTAAAATAGGCAGTATTTAGCTGGCATGATAATAACCTCATCATTCATCAAATTCCAACAGCTGTTTTAATAATATGGGCAAAATGCAAAATACAAAAAAGAGTCCTTCCTATTTTTTTTTTAAAACATCACTTTTATTCTTTATGTCCTGTTCAGAAAACTGGTTCCCTTTTCTGAGGTTTCTATTGCTCTTGTTTTCTCTTACCATCGTATATGACCTCCTTATAAACATTCTTTATTTTACATTTTGCCTGTAATATATGTAACAGATGGGAGTCCCCGTGGCGGAGCGGCTAGACGCTCGCCGCGGCTTGGAAGGTCATGGGTTTGCTCCCTGGCGGAGCCGGACTTTAAAAAAAAATGACTTTGTCTCTCAGGTTGACCCAGCCTTGAGTGGGTACCAGGTGCAGTCCCGGGAAGTAAAGGTGACCGGCGTGATGTTGACCACATCACCCATCTTGTGTCGATTGGTCTATAAAAATATAGGTCTAGCCCTATACGCCTAGAGGCGTGGAAAAGGGTCCTTTACTTTTTTTTTACTATATGTAATAGATAATTGCAGAAGTTGAATAGGAATTAAAATTATGGGCACAACATCATATAGCCAGTATGTCTTAAGTATGAAAAAGAATCCATTTCTTTAAAAACAATCATCATTATTTTTTATTCCCCGTCAAGAAAAGTGGATCATCTCTGCTTGTGATTTCCATACTTGATTTTTAGCTTAAAAGCATAATGGGTGCCTCATTTTACACATAGAAGTGGAACATTTTTGGAAACTACTGAGGAAAAAAAAATGAGATTAAAATATGCTTAGTCATTAAGGTGTTCACATTTGAAAAAAATGTACCTCTTGTTCTTCTTAGCATTCACCAGCTTTAAACTCTGGAGGAAAGTTCTGGTTGTTAAGTCCATATCTGACTTAAGCCTTATTCAGAATTTAAGTTATGTGCGCACATCCATTTTACAGATCTGGCTGTTGGTTTCTCACCTATCAGGCAGATGCATTCTGACTTCAAAGGAAACACCCCTAATTAGCATACTTTTATGGCAAGCTTGTTGGGGTCTGGTGGGGAGCCATGAGTTTATCCCCCCCCCCCCCCCATCCCCCAATCCCCACAATGGGGCCCACAGAACCTAGGCAAGGAATATGCAACTGTAATATGTATTCCAGTATCTTTAAATGCATTACTCTTTTCCAGTTTTTGTTGCATCTTAATTTACACCATGAGTTTACCATTGAGCTGAGTATTTTAATCCTAAACTTGTTACAATAAATTGTGGTTGGGGTTTTTGAGTCATATTTGAAATGTAGGCAGACACATTCACAGAATAGAAACTACTTCTGATAATCAGTAGCCTCTTCTGTGTTGCTCTGTAGTAGAGTTTACACTACTTTTTAGTGAAAGGGAAGGATAAAAAAAGATATTTAAGCTATCCCGTAATGTGATATAGTAGCACTAAAAATTTTCTTCAAATAAAAACTGTTAACTGAAAAATACATGGTAATACTGCAACAATCATCTGATATAATAGTGCAGAAATAATGTTGTTTGAGGATTAAACATTCATAAATTAACATGCTATTGTTAATGAGTAGCTAATACACAAGCTTATCTTTTGCACAATAGCATAATTTTTCAGTGTAAATGGGAGAGAATGCCTTTGAGCTGACATCAAGAAGTAGCTAAATACAAAGCTAATGATGAATAGAAAGCTCAATGGATGGTGAGAAAAAGACAGAGACAATTACAATTGAATTAATGCCTAATTAGTCTGTTGTTTTATCTGGTGACAAGGACTTCTCTGTTATATTTATGTGTCTCTTTTCCTTTTCCTCTGTTGAGCTTTCTAGTTATAGTTTTTTTATGCTCAGTTACTAATTATTATCTAGCCAAACCTGTTAAGGCCTGTGTGACAATTTATAGTTAACACTTATTATCACAGTGCATAAGTATACACATTAAAGTACACAAACAAAACAGAGCTGTTTAATGTTTGCACATTATGATGAAATAAGGTACCTTTTACTTGTTTGGGTTTCTTGCAGCACAGTACACCTGTTGTAAGTCCTTCTGTGTATTCACATGAGGATGTTTCATTAGAAGAAAACACATCTACACGTCCAAATGACAGACAGGATTTGTGAGAATAGCTGACCCACCCACAGTCTTTACCCACTCCTGCCATCTTGCTAGACTGACATCTATGCGGAAAAGACAATCAAATATAGTGAAATGAAATCAAACATATTTGTTTAGTGATGTCAGATCTGGCTGTAACACAGTGAGCCTGTATCATGTCAAAACTAGAAGAGGTACAGTTTCAGGCAGTTCGTATACAGTTACAACATAAATAACTGCAACTTCAGAAAATGCTTCAATCAGTCAATGCATGACCATATTTTCTACCAGTCAGTTTCCATCTTTACAATCAAGATTGCATTAATGTATGATATTTCTAACATATTCTACTTCTCACTCTGATGGTGCACTCTGAGAGACTATTGTTTGTCAATTTAAAAAAAAAAAATTTTTTTTATTTGTATCATTGTTACCTCTTACTCTTGGATCCCAAATCAACCCGGCCTACAATAGGTGAAGAAAAGACAGACACAAATACTACCTATATTAAAAATAATACCTAATTAGTCTGTATAAGTAACACAAATGAATGGAAAGTCTACAGTGGTTAAAGCCTAAATGAATGTGTAGGTAGCTCTAATACAAATTGTAAGGCTATAAATCTAACATAAATGTATGCTATATCTACTGAGGTAAAACAGAAATGTATATGAATCTTGTTAACGTAAAGCAGACATATATGTGATATCATTATAAATAACAGAAAACAGTGTATACAGTTTACAGGGGTAACTATACCTTTTACACTTGTTACGTCGTGCTGCAGCATTATAAGCATAGCAGCCTACTAGGTCAGTCGTATCAAATAATGTGATCTTTTTAATGCTTTTTCTGTTTCGTGGATTGCACACTCTCCATCCCTTGGCACAGAGTGACTTTCCATACTTCACATGACCCTTCCAGGCCCCTGAACATGCCTGGATATCTGGATACATGTGAAGACCATCTGTTGTTCCATCAGCACAGCCAGAAGAATGCTCTGAGGACAATAGTGTGAAAAAGTGAATTTTAAAGCAAATATAGAACAGTATTACAGACTCAGGCTTTTAGATTCCACAATTTCCAGATATCTTACAGACATCAAATTTTATATATATATATATATATATATATATATATATATATATATATATATATATATATATATATATATATATATATATATATATATATATATATATATATATATATATATATATATATATATATATATATAAAAGAGTTTTTGGTACCCGAAGACAACTTATCACCTACATCAGAAGGAGACAGTCATCATTTTTTGGCCATGTCACGAGAAGAGGGAAAATGGAACCTGTTTTTACCACTGTAAAGATCTGTGGAAGGATGCATAGAGGAAAACAATGAGAGAAGATTCTTGACAGTCTTGTTGCAAGGTATGGAGTGTCAGCACACGAACTGATACATGCTGCAGGAGATCGCAGATTATGGAGAGGCATGATCGCCCACGTCAGTCGGCAAGGCACCTGTTGACGATGCTGGCCACTTTCATCTTAAAACCTTTCTTTCTTGGATATCCTTGCTTTGTCAATCCATTTGTTTCCTTATCTAATATTTTTTTTAAAAATCTCTTATCCGCTCCAACAGTCCTTTGTCTACTTCATCTGATACACTTCAGTAATATTACCATTACCATCTATTGTCTGTTATAACACATCTCTTTTCTCTCTCACTCACTCCTTCACAAACTCAGCCAAATTGTGCTAATAAGTTTAAAGCAGGCAAGCAAGATACAGACAGTGATACAAATGGGAAGATTAAGAGACTGATAAGAGTGTTGTACAAGAAGAATAAGTTGCAGAGAATATCAGAGTTCAATGCAGCTGACCTTCACTATATTGTAAAAACAGCACCTGATGGCATTGTACTTTGTTTATAAGGAATGGGTTGAGTTATTAAGAATGTGCTGAATGGAAAGAAACACCAAAACAATTACAGGAATACATTAAAGTAATAATCACCCTGGTTAGGTATTGCTAAAAATGGAAACAGCCGCTGATGCTGAAATATGGGCCCTCATCCATGAGCACATTCAACCAGGTGATATCATTATCAAAGAAGAATCAAACTGGCAAACTGACTAGAATGGGTTGACAGCATCCAGAAGTCCCACCTCAAGAAACTATCTCGACTGTGCACACAAAGATAAGCCTGGGTGAAAGGAAACCAAAGAGATGACTGATTGGTGGTGTCTACAGTGACTGATGGAGGACGAAGTATAGACAAGGCTGACATACTGAATGTGCTGCATTCTAGAGACTTTGAGACAAAGAAGTCATAACTTGTGAACCACCTGTTAGAATCGTGTATTAAACAAGGACAAGCATGCAGAAATCGGTTGCAGGGCAAAGAAAAAAGATAAATCAATGAACTTCTACTAGGTACATTAAGCATAGAGGAGGGAGCATGAATGGGTCGGATCAGTGTGCCAGGATGTCAGACAGACAACAAGTCACAAGTAAGTAAGAACCGATATCATAGCACACATGACATTCCCCTGTATGCACCATTCCTATCTTCAGCAGCCAACATAGAGTTCCAATTCCAATGGCCCAGTAGCAGTCTGATTTTTTATCAATCTCACCATCAATCTGAGTGTGCAGTGTCAGCCATATCCCCCTGGTCACTCCTTGTTGCTCCACTGTCTTCAGACCGTGATCTGTTTGTGCCTCCACACTGTTCAGTCGCTCCCCTGGGATCATCACAAAAACTAGCTTGTCATGCATTCATATACCACCAAGTGGTGCAGAATGAGCCAGTCTGTCTGCTTGTTCATTTCTCAACACACCTACTTGGTGGTTAAAATATCTGAAGGATGCTAACTACCTTGGTCCTCTGAAGCAATGCTGGTCACTCTGCATAAAGCATACATGTCTCCACCTCTCTCAACATGCTCGGTAAGTCAGTAACAATCACAACATTGTGTGGTTCTCAAGCAAGCAAATTGCCTACACCTCCATTCATAAACCAGATGTTGTGGTATCATATGCCAGGCTTTGTTACACTAGGCAAATCCCATTCACTTTTGATATGAACCCCCATGCACTTCTTCTGCTTTCACCACAAAGCCGACTGTATAGATAATCACATCACCATAGCAGAAATTGTAATGAATCAATATTATAGAGTATATAAAGAATCAAAGGTATTTTAGCATATGTTGCTTTTGATTATAAAGTGTTAAGCATCCCCACATTCTAGACTGTGACAGAATAAATTATGGGTAACTAGCTCCTTTCCTCACCACATATTTTTCTCTCAATAATTCCTAGAAAACTCTTAAATTATCTGATCGTAATTTAATGAAGTAGGTTTGACCCTACAACTATACTGGTCTAGCAAGGAAAATGTTGACACTGCTGGGGATTTGGCCCATATCAATGCCTTACTAAACATTTTACTACATAGAAGACCAAATTTTAAAATGTGAAGAGCAAACATAAATTCATAATACCAACTACCTGGAGAATGCCTTCAATATCTATACAGACTCTAAAGTAAATATCACACTAGGTGACTTTAATTCTAAATTTGAAATCAGCAGGATGGTTACACAGTTGGCAAATAGGGATAAAGAGAGCAAAATGAAAGAAGAGACACGCTAGTAGAATGGGCAAAGGAGCATGACATGATTGTCAGAAATACCTGGTATCTGTAACATCTGAAAAGATTATAAACATGGAAAAATCCTGACAATAAGATCAGGTATCAGATTGATTGCATCCTCATAAATCAAAGATTTAAAAATGCTTTAAATGTTGCAAAAACAGTTCCAGGAGCGGACTGTTACCTGTGATTATATATTAGTTATAGGTTAAATACATATAAAGCTAAAGAAAAATAATCATAAACCAAGAAACATTCAATTATATTTGTGTAATTTAAAGAATAAGGATATTAAAGACAACTTTAGTACACATATACTCAATAGATCGGATACACTATCCAGTTTAGAAATTCTATTTCAAAATGTTAATGACCAATGGGAAATACTGAAGAGTTCAATCAGACAAGCTGCAGTAGTATCCATCCCACAGCTGGTGTTGACTGGCTGTAGAAAATGGATGACTGAAGGCATGATAAAACTAACAGAAGAGAGAAGAAGCAACAACAACAAAAAAACCTGAAAAAATATGAAGAGATTCATAGAAAAATTAGAAGACTATCTAAAGAGGCAAAAAAGCATACCTGGAGGAAAACTGCAAGGAAATCAAAACACAACACAACACTCAGAACAGCAAATTAATGCACACAAGAATTAATGAACACAAATAAAAGATCACCCCCATCAGTTGGTTCCTTGAAAACCAAAAGAGGTAACATCTTAGTGACCATGGATGAGATATTAGATGCATGGTCCGACTACGTAAAAGATTTTTACAGCGATTCTCATAAAGACTGATTTGAGATTCTTTTTAACAACAAAGGACCAATATTTTTTTAGGATAGAAGTTCAGAATGCCCTTAACCAAATGAAAGGTGGAAAGACTCCATGTTCATACAACAGTACAAGTGAAATTATCAGTGCTTTAGAATAATGTGGAATAGACCAGGTCACCAGACTACTGAATACAATGTATGACAGATATATGACAGACATACCTAATGACCTACACAATTCTATGTTTATTGCAGTCCTAAAGAAATCTGCGGCCTTAGAATGTGAACAGCATCAAACAATTAGCATCACAAAGATTTTGAAAAAATTCATCATGGAAAGGATTAGGAAGAAAACAGATACAGATGAAGAGCAATGTGGGTTCATAGAAGGCAATAGTATGTCTCCAGATAATAAAAGAACATTTAATAGAAGTAAATACAGATCTTCACCTCTGGTATTTTGATTTCCCAAAGGCTTTTGTTAGCGTAAGGCATGTCGACATGATGAAAAATGCTTATGTGTCAAAAAATAGATGGGAAAGACCATAAACTTATTAAGAACATATTCTTGAAATATAATGACCATGGAGCAAGGAAAGAGCACGCAAGAGATGGAGCGACAACACCAGGAGCAACCTAACAGAAATGAACACCAACTTTTACACAAGCGCACAAATGATCCTTACATCTTCCCCCACAAAACCTTGATGAGGTAAATGGTGGAAGAGAAGAAGAAAGAGAAGAACTGGATAAAACATGATGCTATAAGAATCAACAATGAATTAGGTCTGTACCAACCAATTAAGAGAGGTTTGCAACAGAGATATGTAATGTCTCCACATTTTGTTTCCTTGTGTAGTGAAAATATTAGGCAAGATTTAACAACAGAGATGTGGTTTCTTAGAAGAGTGCAAAGAATATCATGGAATGATAGAAAAACAAATGAAGCAGTTCTCACGAAGACAGATGAAAGTCCTAAAGCTATTAGAACAATCAGACATAGACAGTCGGTATTTTCGGACATATGAGAAGGAATAGACTCGAGAACTTGGTAACAACTGGCAAGACTGATGGCAAGAGAGCTAGAGGAAGGCAAAGAGATAAATACGTGGATGGCCTGGCCAGATGGATGGGGTGAGACAAAAACATGGAACTGATCCGTGATTCTGGTGATCATGTGAGATGGTAAAACATGACAGCCTACGCTTACTGGCGTGGCACACAATGATGATGAATAACAACAAGTTTAATCAACAAATTTACCATGAGAAATGATCAGTTATAAGATGAATAACTAAGGCATCAGAAATCTTATGTAGTTGTGTTTCCTAAACGTTATAAACAAAGATGAAAAATAAGTATAATAGAGCACATGATTTACAAACAGCTGGTTTGTTGTTGTTGGTACTTTTATAATTGAACACATAAATGAGACCCGTACCTGTTATACTGACATATGAACTGGCCATGTCTATGCCATGCTCATTGATGGCCTCACATGTGTAGAGTCCAGTATCTGACCGTTTTGCAAGGGTCACTAAAAGATCTCCTGTTAGAATAAGAAACACTGAGTTAGCCACCCTAAGTTGAGAGAAAGTAATGCTAGTGCTCTTTAAAAATATTTGAATAGCGTAATACTAATGATTTCCTCCCATTGTTCTGGTTTGCTGAATCTAAATTGAGGTCAATTTTTCTAAATCATTCTCACCCCATTTGGAGACAGACTTTTCTTCAAAAATGACCTTGGCTCCCAGGTCGACCCAGCCTTGAGTGGGTACCGGGTGCAATCCCGGGAAGTAGAGGCGGCCGGCGTGATGCTGACCACATCACCCATCTTGTGCCGTTGGTCTATAAAAATATAGGTCTAGCCCTATATGCCCTATACGCCTAAAGGCGTGGAAAGGGTCCTTTACTTTACTTTACTTACTTTACTTATTCTCACCCCATTTACATTACTAAAGTAAAAATATTTAGCCTTCTCTTCTTTGCTGCCTTTTAGCATCATGCTGAGTTGAGTTGAGTCAAGAACTTACATAACAGCACTCGGGGATTTCCCATGCATGCTCCATTCTCATCTTCAGCAGTCAGCACTCCATTGTTCCAATACTAATGGTACCAGTTGTAATCTGGTTATATCAGAGTCAGAATCTGAAGAATCATCAGTTGAGAACCTAGATATGTGTTGCGTAGGTGCTTGTAATTATGACCACCGATATTTTATCCATCCATATTTGCGTGGTTGACCTCTGGTTCTGCTTCCATTATGTCTAAGTAACAGGGCTCTCTCTTTTGCACTGTATAGTGGTAGTCTTGACACATGTCCAAACCAATAGATCTGTTGTCTCTTGAGGTGGTTCAGTACTGGTTCCATCGTGGCAGTCTTGACACACATCCAAACCAATGGATCAGTTGTCTCTTGAGGTAGCTCAATACTGGTTCCATCGTGGCAGTCTTGACACATGTCCAAACCAATGGATCAATTGTCTCTTGAGGTGGTTTAATACTGGTTCCATCTCTCCCTGTGTGGGTTCTGGGGCCTTATTATAGGGAAAACCCACTGCCTACCCAAAAGCATGTCGTAAGAGTCAACTAACTGGGAGCTTCCTTTAAAGTCAGTTACATCTGCCTGAGAGGCAAGAAACCAGCAGTCTGTATACAACTGAGTCAGATCTGTAAAATGGATGCACATGCAACACTGAGATTCTGAAACAGGGCTGCAGTCCAGAAGTGGATGAACAACTAGAACTTTCCACCAGTTTACAGCTGGTGAACGCGAAGAAGAAAAGAATACGGTTCCATCCCAACTTCTTTCCTGATATCATCATTTCTGATCCTGTCTCTTCTAGTTACATTTAGGATTCACCTGAAATATTTGATTTCTGTTGTCTTTTATTGGTAATGTCCACATTTGGCAATGATAATACAATGTTGGTAAAAATACTGTACTGAATGGTGCTTGTTTGGTGTTAATTGTTACATGTTTGTTCTGCAAAATTTGTGACATTTGTCAAATGATTAGAATCGTTTTCTTACATCTGTAATCTATCTCCGCTTCAATTCTTCCATTTGATGATATTATGCTCTCTAGATACATGAAGTGTTTTACTTTCTTGAGGTTTTGTTTTCTATGCATATCTTGATTGGTTCTACTGTTCTTGCAAATGTCATCGCTTCCATATTTTTTTTCCAATATTAATTTACATGTTTTTATGCCTTTGATGCTATGTTGAGATTATCTAGGTAACGTTGCTGTCCTTCCTCTGTAGTTGTCATGAGGACTTGGTTGTCTGCAAAAAAGATATTCTACTGATTTGATCTATATATGTGATAAATGGCAGGGAAAAAAAGAGGGGGTGGGGGGAGATAGATTACATTCCTAATGGACTCCAGATTGTAAGGATAACTTTTCTGTGTTCTGGCATTTGTTCTCACTACATCTTGACTAGTGGAATACATGCATTTACATGTTTACTAAATGTTGGCTAACTCCATAAGCTCTTAGTGTTTTCTAAAGAAGTCAACGGTTGATTCGATCAAATGCTTTTTCTTGATCTATGTACGCAAGATATAGCACATCTTTGCATTCTATTATTTTCTCTGCTACTTGTCAACGTATAAAAATAGCAGCCTTTTTGCTGAAACCAATATGTGCTTTACTAAGCTAATGTTTAATAATTGGGGGATGCCCTTCTCTCTAGCGTAGTTGGCTAAACTGGATTGCACGGTGAGCGGGTGATGAACTCCTTGTGGTCAGGGTTCACTCCCGGGGGTGGGCAGAAAAGCTAAATTTCTCCCAGATTTACGGTATTTAAAATGGAATCAAGGCCGAAAGGTTGCGATATCCATAATACCGAGCCTAAGGGTTAACAACTGATGGCTTCTGGATACTAAAACAACAAACAATAATTGGGGAAAAGTGTTTTTTTCTTTCTTAAATTTTACAAAAATTCTTCTCAGTGTGGCTGAGGAAAGATAATCCTCTGTATGTGGTGCAGTCACTTTTGCTGCCCTTATGTTTCCAGAATGGGACGATAGAGTCATCCAATTTTCAGGTTCTTCCTGTTTGGTCAAAACTAAATTGTACCGTCTGTGCAACCAGTTTACTCCAGCATATACTGCAGCTTTGATCAGTGCAGGGATGTCATCAAGGTCAGGGAACTTGTTCCTAGGGGCAGTTCCCTTTGCTTCTCTTACTTCTGATCTCAATATTTTTAGTTCCAACTCAGTTGTTTTCATTGTGTTAGACTGAAATTCTTCATTTTCTTCGGAAGGAATATAAAGTAGGTGGCTGATGTATTCTTGCTACCTTTGTAAGATAAGGTCTGGATCATTTAGTGCTTTACCATTTTTGTCATTTATCTTTTCTATAGGGTCAAAACTCTCTTCTCTGTTTCTCAATGGTTTTTGTTTCTTTTTATAGAAATTGTTCATGGAACCTGTATACATTTTTAAGCTTTCTCCATATTCTTTCCATGACTCTGTTTTCACATTTTGGATAATTTTCTTTATTTCATTTCTTGCAAGTTTATACTGTATGTTTTTTTTTTCTCTTAACCCATAGTTTATACTTCTGCTCTTTTTTCCCCCTCTGACAGCCCTTTTCCCTACTTCATTCTACCAAGATGTGATCTTCTTTGTGTTACTTGTTCTTATTATTCCAGACACTTCACTGTCTGCCTGTAGGATGCTGTTTTTGAATATAAACCATTCGACTTCAAATGACTTTGCTTCTTCTGGAAGTTTATCTATTTTCTTCTTTACATGCTGATTTAACTCTACAGTAAGACCCCTGATGAGATAAAGCAAAATTTGCCTGGCAAAAAATTGGGCAATGTATTGTTTATGTCTACTTTATTTAAATCTGAGATATGCTGACGACACAGTGTTCCAAGTAGGAAGTGAATAGGAGTTATGTGATATTGTTGAACAATTACAAATAAGCAGTGTAGAATGTAGATAAGATATTAATCTTTAAAAAAAAATGAAAGAAAAACAACATATGGAAAGAGCAACCAATAATGTACATTGCAGTGAATGAGAAGATACCAGAACAAGTAACAAATTACTTTATCTCGGAGATATAATAATAGATTATGGCAGATGTAAAATAAACATTAAAAAGAAATGGAAAAAAAAAAGAAATAAAAAACTGCTTAACATATTTACCGAACCGTGAAACAAATATTAAAAATATGCAGAGATAAACAACACATTAAGAATCAAAAATTTTCAAGGCTTGCATAAACTGAACACTACAATATGGCACATATGCCATGACAATGAACAAGCAATTAATTTAAATAGGGCCCTAGAGATGTGAACATACGAAAGACTGTCACAAACAATACAATATTTAAGTTCTAAAGAGACCAGACATTTTAAAAAATTGAGATGATGAAAGAAATGAAAAATAGACACATGGCATATTTTAGGCATATTAAAAGGTGTGTCCCTGTTATAAAACTGTACTGAAAAAATGGAGGGGGAGGGGGAAGGCAACAAGCTAGAAGCAGACAATAATAAAAGTGTAAACATCAAGATATGTATTATGAGTAATCTGTCAGACCATAAAAAAAGGGAGATAGGCAGAGGTGCTGGAGATCCATCGCAGTCAACCTTTACAGTGAAAAGAGTAATTTTTAAATGTTTTCATTGATAGGCTCAGCGTGGGGAAGTTTTAGATGTCTCTTCTCTGAACAATGCAGAAATGTAGACTTCACAACTGTTTCAGCTTTGTTAACAGCATTCACTGCAGATTAATGATTTATAATGTCAACAACAAACAAACAAATAGGAAGATTAGATACAGTTAATTATTTGACGCATACCTGAAGACAAAACAGAGATTCGGTAGGTCTCACTGGTCACTTTGCGGCCATCTCTGTACCAATGCACCCTGGGAGGAGGCATTCCACTGGCCTGGCAGGTGAGTAAAAATATAAAATCTCTGTATACCTGGAGACGTTCAGGAGGCTTCACAACAATGTGAGGCCTTTTTGCTGAGGGGGAATGGAAGGCACAGAAAACATTTTGAGCAGATGATAAATAAGATGTATTTCACATTTTAATGAATATCAATAGAACAGAAGACATGTTAAATAAAACAAATCAGTTACTACTAAATTTCTTATAAATTACTAGCATGACGAATTAAAACTTAGATTTAAATATACATCAACTGAATAACACACATATGTGGCATTTTATCAAAGTAAAAATAGACAGGTGAAAGTATAGAAGTATATTGGACTAGAACAGAGACATTTCCAGAAAACAGTTGGAAACTACCCCTTTTTCTTCGTGTTCATTCGCTGTAAACACCAGCATAAAGTTATAATTATTTATCCACCTCTGGACTTTAGTCTTGTTCCAGAACCTGAGTGTTGCGTGCACATCCATTTTACAGCTTTAGCTTATTTGTATTCAGACTGTTGGTTTCTTTCCTTTCAGGCAGATGCATTCTTACTTTGAAGAAAGAGACAAGTTAGTGAACTCTTACAACATTGTTTGTGAGGCAGTGGGTCTATTCTTGTTTTTCTCACAATGGGGCCCTAGAACCCCCATAGGTCCATTCAAATCCACAGTTACAGAGAAAAACTATGCTGATATATTGAAAACATTCTGAGGCCACGTAGCAAAAGAATTGCAAAACAGGCAAAAGAATGAGAAACAAATGGACTTAGGAAGCAAGGATGTCGAATGGAAATCTTTCATGTCTGATGAGAGGCGGAGGTGGCAAAATACAGGCAAACACCACATGGATGAGATTTCACAGGCTAGAGGAGAGGAGGAGAAGGTAATGGATAAATTGACTGCAAGCCTTATATGATGTATAAACTGTCAAATAGGATAACGGATGACTGAATATCAGCTACACTGAAAATATATAAAAACATGGAGCAAATAGTAACCACGCAAACCACTACATCAAGAACAAAGTTAAAGAAATTAATATTAACTTTACAACACATTAAAAAGATCCTTACATCTGTTCCCCCCCCCCCCCCCCCCCCCACCCACCCCCCACCACCTTGATGAGTTAACTGGTGAAAGAGGGGGAGGAGAAAAAGTATAATAATATTAGTATTTATAATAATAAAAATAATGGAATCATTGATTTAGGTAGTGCTGTATAGGCATAACAGACACAAGTTCCTACCCCATTTAGTACTACACCTGATAATGAATTATTTCACCAGCTTCACATTACATCTAGATATCATGTGACAGCCTTCACTTTCAAGGACATTTTCTGATATTATCTTAAACGAGGTCAACCTGGGAGTTCATGTAGTTTAAAAGAAAAATATTCTTCTTTGCGAAATCGAAACCATTCCAAACTGTTCAGCTTGAAAAACACCTTTTCTGATATGAGCAGCGTCAATAAATAACTGTGTACTCGAATTAACATGTATAGAGAACTTAAATGTGTAAATGCAAAAAAAATTGCATGTTCATTCATTTCACATTGCTGGGAATGGTAATGATAATATTGTAACTTTATGTGTTTTTTACTACTAGTAGGTACTGTAACTACTTCTATGCTAGATATTCTACACGATAGCAGCCAATGTCGAAGGTGGCGGGTAGTGAGCTGCCTTTAGGGGTTGTTTTTCTCTCCTCTCCATTGTATGCTTGATACTGGGAAATGAACAAGCAAACTGGTTTATTACCACTGGCTTTGAACTGATGCAGGTAAAGTCAGACGAGGTAATGATTTTCTATGAGTACATTAACAGCTCCGAGCAGCAAATATGTCACCGCAGTCTGGAAATAATTTGAGTATTTGGTCAGAGAAAAAGCTCCACACAACATAAAATCTAAGATAAACTGGCACTGGCTGCTGAAGGTAAAGACCACACACACACACACACAAACTTACAATTGAAACTATCATATGCACATATAGTGAGCTTCTTAGCCCAGAAAATATTAAATATCATATGCAGATGACCTTGATATTACTCTACTAAATAATCAATTTACACTTAGACAACTGACCTTGCTTATCTACATGAGAAATGATAATTGTACCTGGTAGCCTGCAACACACAACCCCGTTGATGAGGCCAGGTTTAAAGTGACAGGCTGTGTGGAAGTGGGAGTCTACACAACAGCTGGCATCCATGCGACCTCCAGAGATACATGAAGTCTGACCTTCACTTTGGTGAGGACAGCTTTGACCAACGCCGGCCATGTCATCCTGAAAGGAAAACAGATCAACAATAAACAATTTAGTTAGTTAGTCAACAGATTATCCTCATCGCACATCGAATCATTCAGTCCCTAAGTGCTCGTATCCCATCCTTAGTAAATCCCGCAGCGTGTAGCCGCTCACGACACCAGTTGTGTGTTGTTTTCTGATTCTTTTTTTGGCTTCCTGCACAGTGCTCTTGTTTGGCCACACCCCTCGTAACATGTTGTTCGTGCAGTCTGGTGACTGTTACAGATTCGGTCATCACTTTGTTTTTGCTAACGTCTCACTTCTCGTAGAACATTCAGAATATTAGCAACAATAAACAAGTTCTGAATATAAATTATTTTTGGAATGAAATGTTTCAATCCGAGAAATTTCACAGAAGATGTTTAAAGGACAAAAAAAGTTCAATTAACAAAGCATGAGTGCGTTACTTTAAAGAAGCTTGACACTGACCTGGCTGCACCGAGATACAAAGATAAGTGATATTGTGTATATGTGTAGTATTGTCTAACCTATGTATGTGCTGAAGAAGGCTCCATAACTGCAACGTTCACTTTTTATTTGTGTTTATTAGATTGTGAAGCTCACTGATAAATTTTCGTTCAGTTTTATATCTATCCCTAATACTTTAAAGAAGGCATCAAACACTTTATTTAAAACACATACTGCGTTGGCAGCACAAAGCAACCAGCTCAGGTTTTATTGTTTGCGTTGGATCACATCTAAGAATACTCGGTTCACGTGAACGACAGCTATACAATGGGTATAAAACCACTTGGTACTGGTGGCCTTAATGAATAGTGTGACAATAATGAACATTAAACTGTCTATATACTAAATATTGTGGATTAAAAACTTACACATTAGCTAAGAAATTAAACCTTTTTCCAAACTTGGAATTTTTAATTCTAGTGTCACATGGGTGCTGCCGAAAAGATCAGAGATATTGGATCTACAAAAACCATTCCTAATCAACTGAAAACATGTATTAAGTGATGCCTAAGCATATTAGAAGGCAGGACTAATGTGGTATGCTAAAACAGCTAGTGCAGAACACCGACAAATACCAACGATACGAGAAATAGGGAGAAGACGTCATTGAATAAGACACACATTGAGAATGTTAAGTTAGTAGCATAACTAGATAGTACTTTCTATGCAAACCCCAGACAAAAATGGGGATAGATTCATCAAAAGAGTGCACTGAAGCAGAGTATAATGTATATATATATATATATATATATATATATATATATATATATATATATATATATATATATATATATATATATATATATATATATATATAGTAATGGAGGAAGTTATGGTGTGCTGGTGGGAGTTCTAGGCTAACACTGGTGGCGAGAAAGCGGGCCAGGGGGGTGGGGCACTGTTCCTCACAAGCATGTGGTAAAAATCAACTATTTGGGAATTTGCTTTAATCGTATGTTTTGGTCCAAACAGAGATCACAGCCTAGCTGTAAACCACAACACTACGTGTCTGGTGCCTATTAATGGCAAACACATAAAAGAAGAAAGAGAAGAAAACGAAGAAGAAGAAGAAGCTAAAGAAGATGGGGGGGGGGGGGGAACAGGACGGATTGGAGTGAGTCGTTTAGGGCCTAAGAAGAAAAAGAAGAAGAAGAAAAAAGAAGAAGAAGAAGAAGCAACATCAGCTGCTGCTGCAGCTACATTAGATGGAAAGAGTGACGAGGGTTTTGAGTGAGTCGGTTAGAGCCTACTTCCATGAAGAAAATATGAGCAGAATTATTTATAGTTTTACCTGTTCCAACCCGCCTCTGCATTCTCGACATCGACCGCCATCCTGGGCAGCGTTGATGGCCATACAGCCGTGTACACTCAGTGCATGTTTCCAGGTGATGTTCCGTAAGAGGTCGACATCAAACGATGTACAGACCCTCCATCCAGGAGAACATAACCTGCCGGCGTTACTGATGTGACCGTCCCAGACTCCTTCACATGCCGCGGCGCTCTCAAATCCGTGCAAGCCCTCACGAGTTCCGTCTGCACAGCCAGAGGCTAACGGCATAAAGGGATAGATAAATTAAAATGGATTGAGTTACACTTAGAAGTCAAGGAGAGCTTTAGAAAATAGAGGACACAATAAAGAATATAAAAACTTCACATTAACTGTCAGTCAAAGTGGAACAATTAATCATCATCTTCATCATCAGGGGCCTTGCCGACTGGCGTGGGCGATCATGCCTATCCATAATCTGCGATCTCCTGCAGCATATATCAGTTCGTGTGTCGACACACCTCCATGCCATGCAACAAGGCTGTCAAGCATCTTCTCTCGTTGTCTTCCTCTATCTCTCCTTCCACATATCTTTCCAGTGGTCACAACATGTTCTATTTTCCATCTTCTCATAACATGGCTAAAAAATGATGACTGTCTCCTTCTGATGTCTGTGATAAGTTGTCTTCGGGCTCCCGCCTCTTTTAAAACCTCCTGGGAACAATTAAACATTGCGATTGTCCACACCTGCAGACGAACTGGGCATTTAGTGCTAGTTCCATATTTTATAGACCAATCGGTTTGCGGTGGGTGATGTTTTCAGCATCACGGAAGCAGCCTTTACTTCCCAAGACTTTACCTGGTACCCACTCAAGGCTGGGTCGATTTGGGAGCCAAGGTCATATTTGAAAAAAGTCCCTTCGTTCGTTTTCGAACTCATAACCTTCGGATCCGCAGGCGAATATCTAGCCCCTTCACCACGTCACTCCAAGTCTAAAACAGAGCATGTAGTTCTATGCTGCAAGTTAGGGAGGAATGATAACATGATGGGACAAGTGCATCAGTTTTGTGGAAATTATGTTAAAAAATAAAGTGACAGTGTAGGTGTAAAAAAATAATCGGTTTTCAAGTTTTTATCGTATTAAGTTGTGTATGTGTGTGTGTGTGTGTGTGTGTGTGTGTGTGTGTGTGTTAAATAACCATTTGTGACTTACTTATTTACTTCTAGCATCTCTCGGTCGTTGTGCTAATGGAATGAAAATGACTCTCTAATTGCATAAGTTGAAGAGTATATAAGGGGATGGTGCAGACTGTCCGGGGCACTCTGGGCAGTTGCCTGTAAGCTGTATAACAATATAGACCAGGAGCGCCGGAACCTTGGGGTTTCATACAAATTAGGGGACCTCCCTCTTTCCCCACTCAGACAAATCATAATTAGAACCTCAAGCCCCTAAAAGATCACTGGCGCGCCCTACTGCCGTACAAGCTGCCTTGCTGCGCTTGTATTAACCAAGTCCCGAGTTTTTAATAAAATTAGCAGTTAGTTCCACGATAATCTCCACAGCCGAACTAGGTCACGTTCCACTGATACATTTTTTAGACTCGTCTGTTGTCCGGGAAGCTACGGCTAGGTTGTTTCCCTTCTGGCTTGTTCTGCATTAACGTTTTTATTCAGAGAAAGAAAATGCCTTTGACATAGATTGCAGCACTCTATAGGAGGGTTGTGGGTTAGACCCAGTTTATAAATGTTAATTGTATGCTGGTCTCACCATTTACACACCGCCAGACACTAACTTGCTTCTGACTGGACGACCTACTGACCACCTCACATCTGATAGGTCGGCCTTGAGCGATCCGACTTTCACACAAGATCAAGGGGATATTCCGCACTCGCGCTCATATAGCGTGTTATATATTTCACCATGTCAGAGATTGTAACACTTCTAAAACATTTGGACACTGGGTCTAACATACAAACCCCCTAGAGAGTGACAAAACCTATGTCACAGGCCGTTTCTTTCTCAGAGATAAAAACATAAATGCCAGACAACAACAGACTGCGACACCCATAACCTCGACCACGGTAGACTAGTCCAAGCAACTTATCAACGGAGTTGACCCACAACCGGTGGTGTGTAAATGAGGTGACCATGGTATAAATAACCAATGTTTGTATAGTGTTAAAAGCGCTGGAGTGCTTAAATATACAACCCGATATCAAGGGCATTGCCGACCCCCCACCCCCCCCCCCCATCCCCGCAGCAGTGTGCGAAGATCGGGTGACCGGAGGTCGACCAATCAGAAGTTAGCTAGTGTGTAACGTGGGAAGATTATCGTGGAACTGACCAAATTAGCACTTTCAGAAATTAAGTTTATCCCGTTTACTTTATCTCTTTTTACATGCGTTACAAATTCTCAACAAACGGAAAGCCAATTGCAAGCTTCCGGTGTTTTTATTGTGTTCTATTTTTTTTTATATATATATTGTCTCGTGTTACCTTTTATTTCAACTACTCTCGACTCGCATTCTTTGAGTGCCTATCAGCATCAATGAATTACTTTTTCGTGTCACGTCAATGACCTCGCGGGTTCCCCGACGAGTAATTGCAAGTTACGTTGTCTCTAGTACGGGTAATGTGGCGCAGGGTGATAATCTAGTTGCTCCGATTGCGCTGCTCGTGTTTGTTGGGTGGACACGTACATTAAACTTGGCATTAGGAATGTGATATATTCAAACAGAGCTCATCAGCACCAAGTACCAGCTCAGCGCCGAAGGTCGGCTGTAATGAATCTCTGCCGCCCTCTGTTCTGCATTTTCCCGTTGCATTCCTATAAGCTCACACAGTCAGTTTGCGGATGTTTTTCCTGCCCACATGCATAGGCGTCAGAACCTAGGACCTGATTCACTTTGAGGCTCTGCTCCCCCTTTTCCAAATGTTTTTAGGGTGGGGGAGGGGGGGGAGGAGCTAAGTTATAAAAGCATGGGTATAAATAAGCAACACGTGTGGCAGAATCAATCAAATCATTCATTCTGAATGAGTTATGCCTCATATTTTGTAAGAAAAAAAAAATCATTTTAAGTATGCACCCCACCGCTTAAGTAGGCGGCGAAAGAAGTCCGCCACCCTCCCCCTCTACGCCCCTCCCCCCCAACCCAAAGCCACTGTGGTTTTTCGCAGAGACAATTGTTCTTTGTAAAATCTTCTTGTGGTCAGTTAACACTCGTAGTACCGTGGTCGTCATCTTGCGTTTGCCTTGATGTAACAGTTACTTTTGAGTGTAGTCGATTTTATGTTTCAGTTCGAAGGATTCATTTATTTGCTTCAGTGTAACCAATGTTTACTCTAGTATGCAGCTGACGAGACGCAGCGGAATATAAATGCTGCAATCCTTTGTTAGTGCTCCGGTCGATTATTTCGAATTTATTCATACATTTATTTATCTTTCAGCACAGATTTATTATGCTATTATACTCTTAAACTAGGATTAGGCAACATAAGCACCTGAACCTTTTTTAGGGAGGGGGGAGGGGGTTGCTTGATTAAGCAAAACGATACCACATCCCCTTTCCCAGTGTTTTCTCTTTGTCGGCACGTCGGTTTGGTGAATACTTCAAGCCGATATAAATTATGGGAGGTAAAGGCAGTACAAGTTGTCGGTGAGATTACATTAGCCATTTACTGACCTATAAAATATGACTGGGCATCATATACCCAGTACAAGGCGCAGACAAGGCTCCTCTACTGCATGTTACCTTACTCCGCTTCGCACTTGCATGTCTGTCAGAAGTGTTTTAATCCAATCGTGATAGATTTAGCAACATAATTATATATATTGGCTCGCAGTGACAGTACTGCCGAAAGTCCGACGGTTCCTCTGTGTGTGTGTGTGTGTGTATGTATGTGTGTGTGTGTGTGTATGTATATGTGTGTATGTATGTGTGTGTGTGTATGTGTGTGTGTGTGTGTCTGTGTGTCTGAGAAATCCCCAGACCATCCCATAGTATGGGCAGGGGGAGAGGGGGGAGGATTACGCTTAGTCGTAGTAGCCATTCATTTAACACTAGCCCTAACGCTAACCCCCTATACTATGGGAGGGTCTAGGGATTTCCCTGCCAAATCTAGAAGCCGGCGTGATGTGGTAAAATAACAGAAAAGAACCCAACGGGGTTTCTGGGTCTTGCGCTTAGAAAGATTCAGATCCGAATCACTTTGCGATTAGGACGATTCTTATCCGAATCACTTTGCGATGTGTATCGCTCTTTGTGCGATCCTGGTGTGGTTGAACGCCAGCCAAGCTCCTTATCACCCCCACCCTCCCCCCTCAATAGTGCCGACTGGACATTACCTACTTCTCTTACTTCACTCCAGTTTTCACAACCAGTGGTATTCCTAACAGATGCAAAAGCAGTACTTCAGTCACTCCAGTCTGGAAAATTACCAAGCATACGGACACTATTATCCGAACTAGGCAACCGCTGTAAATTAGTAATGCAGTGGATACCTTTCCACTGTGGAGTTCCCGGAAACGAAAAAGCTGATAAACTAGCTAAGGAAGGTGCAACTGAAGAACAACCTGACATACCAGTCTCTTATCAACAGAAGAAGAGAATGATCAAATCAATCAGAATGCCACCGAAACTGGCACAAGATGATAACCATATTATGGACAGACCAGAGCAAGTTATTATCCTTCGCCTTAGAACAGGACACAATAGACTTCGCTCCCACATGTACAACAAATTTAAGATTGGCCAATCAGCCATGTGTACTTGTGGACTGGCACCCGAAACAACAGATCACATCCTTCAAGACTGTCCCATATTCAACGCTTTCAGGCAAAACATTTGGCCAAAAGAGACACTTGTGGAAATCAAACTTTACGGGCCGCTTAGTGAATTACAAAAGACAGTGAAATTCATACAAGAGACGGCTTTGCAGATATAGACAATTTATTTCATACGAACGAAAGAAGAAGAAGAAGAACTCCAGCCTTTGTTTTTGTCAACACACGCGACCAGGTGCGCCGCCACGAAGATAACACTGGGGGAGGGAGGAGAGGACCTCGCAAAAATGGAGATTGGCTGGTTTACCTGTTTATTTTATTTGAATTCAGGTGAAATCACTGCAATTATTTTTAATATAAGACGTAGAGCTAATAAGTATATACCTTCAGCCCTCCCTCAGCCTCTCCCATTTGGGGTTGGGGGTTGGGGGGGGGGGGTCTTAAAAGACTTGAGCTCCAAGGTTCCGGCGCCTACGCACACCATTCCCCAAAATTA